GCATTGGTCACTATTCACCTTTTCTTGACTTTAAAGTCATTATAGAGCAATTATGTTTAATTTTGGTCACCAAAATATAATTTTTCCATTTTTTTACTACTTTTATAGTTCAAGGGTATCTACAATAGTTCCGGAGTGTTTTTTTTTTTTTTTGGTATTTTACCCAATAATTTATGAAAAGTGTATCCCATCCAATAATCAACATGACTTTTCAAAACAGGATTTATATATAAAATCCTATTTTGAAAAGTCATGCTGATTATTGGATATCTATCTTATAACATTTCAATAGAGGGTGGATGGTGTATATCACTATTATTTTAAATAAGGGTAAAGTACAGTCACACCATATGAGGTTTGACAAAAGAATATTCAGATGAATCTTACTTATTTTTTGGATAAAGACACTCCCTGAAGGTTTAAAAATAGACAAAGACACCCCTTTACATGAGAAATTGACAAAATTACCATTTGACCGTTTATGAGTCTTTTTTAACTTTACAATTTAATAAATTGGACCAATCTACCCTCATAAACAATTTATGCGTAAAAAAAAAAAGTAACAAAAAAAAAAAAAAAAAAAAAAACTTTATATTGTTCACTTTTTTTTCTTTTCTTTTTTCGTTATTTACTTTACAAATGTCCCAACTTCTTAAAAATATAGACGTCTAAAATGATTTTTTGATCCAATACATATATTTCAAATAAATTATATTTTGTTATTACTTCTTTTCTTTTTCTTTTTTATTTTTAAATTAAGATGCTTAATTCTTTCATCTAAAAAAATTAAACCAATCTCATTTCCTTAAAAATAAAAAAATATGGTACCAGTATAACTTTATGCACCTTAAATTATATATCAAATATTATGCATTTCCTAACATAAAAGGGAATAATAATAATAATAAAACAAAGGGCAAAAAAAATAATAAAACAAAAGAAAAAAAAAAAAAAAAACAAAAGCACGCATAAAGTTAAGATGCATAAAGTTATACTGGTACCTATTTTCTTTATGTTGGGAATTACATAATATTTGATATATAATTTAAGATGCATAAAGTTATACTGATACATTTATAAAGTAAATAACAAAAGAAAAAGAAAAAAAAGTGAACAATATAAAAAAAAAATTTACATTTTTTTTATGCATAAATTATTCATAAGGGTAGATTGGTTCAATTTATTAAATTGTAAAGTTAAAAAAGTCTCCTAAACTGTCAAAGGGTAATTTGGTCAATTTTTCATGTAAAGGGGTGTCTTTATCCATTTTTGAACTTTTAAGGAGTGTCTTTGTCCAAAAAACAGGTAAGTTTTCTCTGAGTGTTCTTTCGCCAAATCTCAATAGGTGCGGCTGTACTTTACCCTTTAAATAATGTAAGTGGAGTTTTTTTACAACTTTTATAGTTCAAGGTATCTCCAATAGTTTCGGAGGTTTATTTATTTATTTATTTTTTTACCCAATAATTAATGAAAAGTGTATCCCATCCAATAATCAATATGATTTTTCAAAACAGGTTTTTCTAAAGTTGTTTTATCTATTTAAAACATTATCTTCATAATTTCACTAGAATTTGCAAAATATTAACGTCTTTTCAGCTTTCACGTAGGATATAATTGATGGGGTGCACTTGTCTTTATTAATGAAAAGTGTATCCCATCCAATAATCAACATGATTTTTCAAAACAGGTTTTTCTAAAGTTGTTTTATCTATTTAAAACATTATCTTCATAATTTCACTAGAATTTGCAAAATATTAACGTCTTTTCAGCTTTCACGTAGGATATAATTGATGGGGTGCACTTGTCTTAAAGGGGTTGCCATCGAAAAAGCCCATACATACATACATACATATATATATATATATATATATATATATATATTTGGTTAAAGGAAGCCCGTACATAGTTGTTGCTACATTTATGAGAGGACTTTGAACCATGTTCAAATGGTACAACAATTTACCATGACACTTTTTGTTTTTTTTTTTCATGGTAAGAAAATAAACACCGCTAATATGTCCACTTACTTTTTTGATATTCTAATCATCTACCTTTTTGAGATTCTAATCATCTTCATCCATTTTAAGAGGTAGCATAGATACTATTATACTACGAGACCTTTGATCATGACATTTGGATTTAAATTGATCTCTAACTATATATTTGATAAATTAAATAGTGAAAAAAATTCAAACCACGTAATGTGATTTAATTTCAAGCTAATTTTCCAATAACTCAAAATTATTATGAAACAAGGCTTTGTTATTCTATGAGTATGATAGGGAGTTTAATAGTAGAATAAAATCAATTTATCTACATAAGTACTATGGATTGATATCATCATAGATTCATAGCATTAGCATTATTAATGACATCACAATAATATCATACATACCACATAAAATTAATTGAATATATCTAACTTTCAAATTTCGAATCATTATCCTTATCCTATTTGAACCAAAGCCGATGATTGGAAATTTCGTTTTAAATATGGCGATCCAAACCTATAACAAAAAAATTTGAATTTGATTAGAATTGAAATTGAGCTATTTAGGTATTTTCTCTACCTTTCAAAATGGATAATGAGTCTTGAATTCTCTGGGGTCTGTTTGGTTAGACGGAAATTTATGATGGAAAGTGAAAGTGAAAGAAAGTGAAGTGAAAGAAAGAAAAATCAAGTTTTCTGCATGCATTTGGTTAGTAAGAAAAAATTTCAAGAAAGTTAGGAAAAATATTATTTTATTAGTTTGGATAGCATGAAAGGGAAAAGAAAATGATTTACTTACCAAAACAACCCTCATGATTTAAAATATTAAAAAAATAAATTAATTTTGTGTTGGATGAATCATCTTTGTACCCAAATATTTATATTAATTTTTAGCAATTAAATAGTAAAATAATGGATTAATAATCATTATTATTATTATTTATATTCATATTTAAATTAGACAAAGTAAGGAGGACTACATTTTAGTTTTTGGATTCTTTTTATTTTTTGTTTTCAATAATAATTATTTATATTTATATGTAGAATATAATTCACTTATCATAACATACTCATGTTTTATCATAAAATAATGGATTATTAATTATTATTATTTTTATTATTTATATTCGTATTTAAATTAGAAAAACTAAGGAGGATTGCATTTTAGTTACCAGATTTTTTTTATTTTGTGTTTTTAATAATAATTATTTATATTTATATGTAGAATATAGTTCATTTATAATAACATACTCATATTTTATTGAATTATTAAATATATCTTTTTTTAAGCCCCCTCCAAGAAACATTAAATGGCAACTCTACATAAAAATTGTCATGCAAAAGTAATATATTAATTGTATAATTCATGCATATTAATTTTATGGTTCTTGCATAATTTATCAGTCCCCTTTCATATTTTTTATGAATATGAACCACTTCAATGCAAATTTTTCTGTGCAAAAATCACACAGTATAAAACGTTATTCAGTTCAAAGCTGTATAGATAGTAAAAAATAAATATTATATTGATTTCTATCCATGTAAAATTGTTATGTCATATAAATAATATGATGACTCAAATTAATCTCTTCTCATATTTCTATTGAGATATTGATAAAAATTAAAATTTATATTATTTAATATTCTACCCTTCAACTCTTAATTTATTTCCAAAAATTTTAGGTAACGATTTATTGGATATAATCAAATTATGTGTCCCAATATATAATAATTGTTGGAATATTTTATAAGTCGGAATTTAATAACCACTATATTTGTTATGTGAAAAAAAAATGGTGAAACAACTGGGCATAATAGAAATTTTGGAAATAAAGTGACGGTTTTGTGCGAGAAAGTTAACTTCCCAAAAATTTTCCCTTTCCAGATAACCAAACTCCCAAAAATTAAATTTCTTTTCCGTTTCTTTTTCTTTCTACCTACTTCACGCTAACCAAACGAACCCTGAGAGACAAAATGGGTACGTAAGTTTTTTACCGATTAAATAAAAATTAAATAAAAAATGGCTCAATCAAGTTTGATTTCATACCGATTAAATCAAAATTAGAAAATCTACCCCTCTTTTAGCCGTCCCCTCCCACTTCATCTTATCTCTTTGCTTCCTTCCATGGGATTGGGGAGATGATGTTTCTGTTTCCTGCCTCCCACAGGCTAAATAAAATCGGCATCTTTGTGGGTGGTTTTTACGTCGTTTTTGTTTTTGTTTTACTAGATCTACTTTGGTTTGGCTTGTTTCTGGCTGGACAGGGTGAATCTGTATTTCTTTCTTCGGCTAGATCTCAGATCTATGTCGGTTTTTTTTTTTTTTTTTTTTTTTTGTCCTCTATTAGATCTCATATTTATGTCAGTTTTTGTGTTCGCCGACTTATGCAGGATTTGGGTGATTTTTCCACTAGTTGGAGGCGCCTTGTGGATGGAGCTTCGGAACAGTTGTCTTGCTAATGGCCTGAATTTTGTGTCACTCCCTTTGATTCTCGTCTTATGTGGTGGTTTTTGTTGTTTTTCTTAGCAAATTTGAAGTCTGGTCTTCATTTTTTTTATTTTTGCTTCAGATTTTATTTGCCTTTTTAGGACTCGTCTTTATTACATCTATACTGTCTTCTATATGAATTTATTGCGCAGATGTAGTATTGCTGTTCTCTTATTGCCAAAAAAAAATTAAAAAATAAAATAATGGCTCAATCAAGTCTGAGAGACTGCCCCAATCACTTTCTTTCTTTCTTTGCCTAAAGACAAAAATGAAAAAGAAGGTTAGGATGGTCCATCAGACTTAAGCAGTGGTACACAATATTAGTCCCCTGCGTTAAGTATCATTTGGGGTTAGAAACCAGTCTTCTTCTTGCTTTTTGACAAAAATAAAAAGTACGTTGAGATGGCGCACTAGATTAAAGCCAGGCAGTGGACCACATATACACAATCTTAGTCCCCTGTATTAGCACCATTTTGGGGTTAAAAACTAGTTTTATTCACACTTCACACCAAAAAAACTTGATAAGAAAGAAAATTGTGAGGACAATTCTTTATTTCAGCAATATTACAAAATATATATATATATATATATATATATATATATATTTCTTTATTTCAGCAATGCTATCCATATTACACATGCATCTGCTTTTATGCAACTAACAGTCACATACAATTTTTTTTACCATTTATATAAACAACTAACTAGTAAGCAGTAACTACAAGATAAATAATAGTACAATCTTACAACTAAAACCACAAAGACAAAGTGTCGCCAAAGACCATCACCTCCACAAGTGAACTTCTTGGTTCATCAAACACTTCTTTTGGCAATCCTGACTTTCAAACCACGCTTCATATGAAGTAGGATTGATTCATTTGGGGAAATAGGATGACCCTCTGCCACTTTAATGTCATAATTGTATATAATGGTGGCTGAAATCATCTTCATTTGAATGAAAGACATATCCTTACCTACACAACTTCTTGGTCCTGCATTGAATGCCGGGAACTTGTAAGATGGTTCGTGCTTCACTCCTTGCTCTGAAATCCACCTCTCCGGCTTGAAATCTAAGCAATCTTTGCCCCATATCGTCTCCATCCTCCCCATTGAGTAGAAAGACAGTATTATCTTTGTGTTTTGATCAATGTGATGCCCGGTTGGGAGGATGTCCGGTACAAGTGGAGCTTTGTGCTCCAAAGATACAGGTGGGAACAGCCGTAGAGCTTCACACAGAGCTCCGTGGAGGTACACCAGTTTACGCGACTCTTCTGTGCTGAAAAGCCTCAATTTCTCATCTTCTTTGAGGTGCAACTTCGACATGATCTCTTCTCGGATTTTGACTTCTGCTAGAGGGTGTAATGAGAGGAGCCAGAAAAGCCAAGTGAGTGCTGCACTTAAGGTGCCTCTCCCTGCTACCATCAAACTCAGTAAGGTGTCTCTCAGAAACTTCTCCGAATCAATAGAACCACCACTCTGTACTTTGTATGCTTCCATGTAAGCTGCTAAAAAATCGAAGCCCTCTTCTTGGTGCTCCACCATTTCGCCTCTGATTTTACTAAATTCTTCACGCTTTAATGAAATATATTGGGACAAAAATTGGTCGAAATTCGCCCAAGCCATACTCAGCTGCTTCTCTTTGCCAATTTGAAGCCATTTTTGCAGCTTCCAACAGCTTTCTGGAAATACATGCCTGTATAATATGGCCTCCTCCATGTCACCAAATGCCTTTTCACATGGAATGTAAGGCAAGGCAATGGAGAGACTACCAGGGTCGTAGCCTAAAAGTAATATGCAGATACCATCAAAAGTGAACCTTTGAAACAACTCTTGCAAGTCCACTTCTGTCCCTAGTTCTGAGATATGATCAAGAACTGAGATTAGCCCTTTTTCCACCTTCTGCCAAGTAATTCTCTCTAAGAGGTCTTGGAACTTGGCGTGCTTGATCAATGACATGGTGGTTTTTCTATGATTTTCCCACAACTGAGAATCAGCATTGAAAATCCCATCTCCTAGAACATCGAAAATCTTCCTGAATTCAGGACCCTTTGGGTAGTTTGAGAAGTTCTTGCTCAAGATGTAGTGAATGTTGGCGGGATCAGCAGTGACCAACATGTCCATGTTACCAAACCAAGGGCCTTTAAACGTAAATGTGCCCCCACTTTGGTTTAGGATCTCTGTTGCGAAATCATGGAGGCGGCTAGCATTTCGAAGCAGCCCTGGCAGCATCCCGATGACCCACCAATTCGTCAGCGGCGAGCTTCTCTGCTGACTCCATCTCCAGTGGCAAAGAACTATGAAGCATAGTAGCAGCAGTAGTAAGAGTGTCTCAATGATAGCCATTGATGCCAAACTTAGTGAGGTGTGTTGATAAGGCTTCCATGGTCAATGCTAGATTTTATAGATGAAACTATGTATATCCGTAATGTGACAACCTAATGGCTTGTCCATATCTCCAATTAGTGGAGGGGTTGAGGATGAGTGGAAGCCAAATTACACGTGTCCTTGGGGTCTTAATTAATCATGCTTAGCCTTTTGGTGTATGAAGATGAGAGCAGGGATCTCCACCGCAACCACGTGATTATAATTAATGTCATTTGCCTAACTTTGGTGGCCATGAGTGCAACCATCAATAATTGGAGCTTATAGTCTTGTCAACGTTGGAATTCGTACTTTGTGATCAGAGCTAATAAATGTACACACGATGGGTTGATTTTAAGTTAGGAATTACCAATTGGGAGGTGCAAATATGATATGATATGATATAGATAATTTTTAAAAATATACGGATCCGATAAATTTTTAAAAAGATACGGATATGACAATAATAATAATAAATAAATTTTTTCTATAAAAAATATATTTTTGAATCAATTTTTTATAATATTATGAAAATAAATACAATCATTAATATAACACAATACTTTTACAACACACCAAACAAACATTCTTAATTGTCACTTAATAAATTTTAAATTTTTCTTAATAATTATATTATGTTATTATTGCTGAAAAAATTATATTTTCAGATTCAAATTTAGTTAAAAATATGTTAAGAAATATCTGAGAAGTATTGAATATGCGATCAAAGTATTTAAAAAGTATCGAATATATACGTGTTAAAAATTAAAAAATATATTCTAAAATTATAAATACATCGAAGAAGTATTGTTGGAATTGGCTGTGCATCAGAGCTAATAAATGTACACAGAATAGGTTGATTGTAAGTTAGGAATTACGGATGCAGAGGTGCATATGATATGATATATGATATGGGCAAGGTAATATAATTAATTTTTAAAATATATATGATATATATATTTGAATTAATTTTTTTTTTTTTTAATTAGGATTCACACATACTGTCTCCATTGAGGTTCGAACTCCTGACCTCTCTTTGAGAAGTAGGAGTCTTATACCGCTAGACCACAGGCCGGTTGATTATTTTTTATAATATTATATGAAACTAATTAAATGCAATCATTAATATAACATAATAGCTCGTTTCACAACACAATCCTAGTTATCCATCACTTGATAAAGTTAAAAAAAAAAAATTAACAATTATACTATGTTATTATTATTGAAAAAATTACATTTTAATATTCAAAACTAGTTTAAAATGTGTTAGGAAGTATAAGTATTGGATACGCGATCGAAATTTGGAAAATATCGGATACGTGTTAAAAATAAAAATAAAAATAAAAAAATTATCGAACACGTATTCAAGAAATATCGGTAATATCCGACACATATTCCGATATAGATATATTACTCTCGTAGAAATATTTGTACTTCTTAGATTATAAGTCATGTAATATCTGGGTAGACAAGTTTTAATGAAGGTGAGAGTTGACATTGAGTTGTCTCTCCTAACTTGTAAATCCCATTCCATCCAAGGAAAGAACTAAGAAGCATAGCAGCAGCAGTAGTAAGTGTGTCTCAATGATAGCCATTGATGCCAAACTTAGTGAGGTATGTTGATAAGGCTTCCATGGTCAATGCTAGATTTTATGGATGAAACTATGTATATCCATAATGTGACAACCTAATGGCTTGTCCGTATCTCCAATTAGTGGAGGGGTTGAGGATGAGTGGTGGTCGAATCACATGTGTCCATGGGGTCTTAATTAATCATGGTTAGCCTTTTGGTGTATGAAGATGAGAGCTGGGATCTCCCCAGCAACCACATGATTATAATTAATGTCATTTGCTTGAATTTGGTGGCCATGAGGGCAACCATCAACAATTGGAGCTTATAGTCTTGTCAACGCTGGAATTCGTACGTTCGGATCAGAGCTAATTAATGTACACACGATGGGTTGATTTTAAGTTAGGAATTACGGATTGGGAGGTGCAAATATGACATGATATGATGTGATACAAATAATTTTTAATATGATATAGATAATTTTAAAAAAAGATACGGATCCCATAAATTTTTTAAAAGATACGGATATGACAATAAAAATAATAAATAAATTTTTTATATAAAAAATATATTTTTGAATTAATTTTTTATAATATTATGAAAATAAATGTAATCATTAATATAATAACACAATAGTTTCACGAGTAGGATCTCTTGCTCCCCATGGATTGTTTTGTATGTCAATAGTGTAATTTTTAATTTTTTTTTCACACTCAAACAAATAATGTCAACTTAAGTATTAGGTTATGGATACAATTTTTTAACACTTATAAATTTTTTTTATAAAAAAATAAAATTTAATTAATGGTGAGACCTGATTTCAAGAGGTAAGGAGATTTCTATTTTTATTTTTTTAGTACTTACCTTTTATTGTTATAATTAATTATATTGATAAATATTAAATTTGAAAATTAGAAATAGTGACAGTGGTTTTGTATTAAAAGAAAAATTATAGGTGGGTTTAGAATGTGACCATTAGATTTAATCTAATGGTCACTATAAAAAGTGAATTTTCTTATAAATTTTTTTTTATAGAAAAAAAAAATTTAATTAATGGTGAGACGTGATTTCAAGAGGTAAAGAGATTTCTATTTTTAATTTTTTAGTACTTACCTTTTATTGTTATAATTAATTGTATTGATAAATATTAAATTTGAAAATTAGAAATAGTGATAGTGATTTTGTATTAAAAGGAAAATTATAGGTGGGTTTAGAATGTGACCATTAGATTTAATCTAATGGTCACTATAAAAAGTGAATTTTCTTACTCCATGGGGAGCAAGAGATCAGTATTCATAGTTTTACAACACACAAAACAAACATTCTTAATTGTTACTTAATAAATTTTAAATTTTTCTTAACAATTATATTATGTTATTATTGCTGAAAAAGTTATATTTCAATGTTCAAAACTAGTTTAAAATGTGTTAAAAAGTATCTGAGAAGTATTGAATACACGATCGAACTATCTAAGAGGTATCGAATATATACGTGTTAAAAATTAAAAAATATACTTTAAAATTATAAATACGTTTAAAAAGTACTGCTAGAATTGGTTGTGATCAGAGCTAATAAATGTACACAAAATAGGTTAATTGTAAGTTAGGATAATATGGGTATGGTAATATGATTAATTTTAAAAATATATAAGATACGGATACCACGTGATGCCGCAAAAAATAATAATAATATATATATTTGAATTAATTTTCTATAATATTATATGAAACTAAATGCAATCAGTAATATAACATAATAGTTCGTTTCACAACACAACCCTAGTTATCGATCACTTAATAAAGTTTAAATTTTTTTTAACAATTATACTATGTTATTATTGTTGAAAAAAATTACATTTTAATGTTCAAAACTAGTTTAAAATGTGTTACGAAGTATAAGTATTGAATACGTGATCGAAATATGGGAAGTATCGGATACGTGTTAAAAATAAAAAATAAATAAATAAATATACTTTAAAATTATAGATACGTTTAAGAAGTATTGGACACGTATCCAAGAAATATCGGTAATATCTGACACATATTCGACATAGATATGTTACTCTCGTATAAGTATCTGTGCTTCCTAAATTGTAAGTCATGTAATATAAAATGTAATATTTGGGTAGACAGATTTTAATGAAGGTGAGAGTTGACATTAAGTTGTCTCTCCTAACTTGTAAATCCCATTCCACCCAAGGAAAGAGTAGAGGTGCAATGCACAATTTTTTTTATGTTCACATCAACATTTAAAAAAAATAATAAAAGTTAATTTCTTTGACACTCCCTCAGATTTGACCAAATATCACTTTGAAAACAACTTTCGAAAATTACTATTTATTAAGTCCAATTTTACTTTTCCGTCACTAACACCGTTAAAAACATGCGAAAAGACAAATCTACCCTTCTTTTTGAAATTCATTTTAAGCTAAAATATCAACAAATTTAAAAAGACAAAATTGCCCCCAACAACTTCTCTCTCTAAAATATGTGTGTGTGTGTGTGTGTGTGTGTGTGTGTGTGTGTATATACACAATTAGGCTCGGTGGCCTTCCACCAGTAACAACGACGGCGACAGTGACGGCGATGGCGACGGAACTACTCCAAAGATGATGAAGACCAGTAACAATTCCGACTAAGTTTTATCTGAAACAATCATTCCCACAAACCAAAACCCAAATTGACATCGACACCTTCAAAATCGCAATCGACGGGGCCACCACCACCCCCTACACTAGCGTTACTCCCGCTACCATCCCAACCACGACAGTCGGCAGCCAAAATTTCTCTTTCTCTCAACCACCACCCATTACTAAACCTAGAGGTTATGATCGAACAACATCTCTTCTCCAGCGCCATCGCTACCTCGGACCTCTGGTATCAGATCCCCGACGGTGACGCCTTTACCATCTTCTCTTTTCGCGACATCGTTCCTCGCTATCTGATTTCCAATCCACAACCTCTCCTTTATCTATATATACATAGACATAGTCACACACACACACACACATACACACACATATATATATGGATTCACATGAAGAAAGAGAGGAGGTAGCCCAAATTTGGGACACCGCCGGCCAAGCGAATCTCTTGTCACATTACGCTCGCACTCCAAGGCCACGATCGGAGTGGAATTTCAGACGACCTAGATTTGGGACAATCCCGGCCAAGAGGTAGGCTTTGTTTGTTATGGTTTCAAATTTGTTAATGAATGGTCTCAATTTTTTCTTTTATTGAATTAGTTTGTGATTGATTGGTTTGTGTACAAGAGAATTACTCAATTGGTTTTTTTTTTTTTAATTCACAATTGGGTTATCTGATCTCCACAACCTCTACTAACGGCGTGGGTAAGAGGGTTTGCAAACAATGTGAAGGGAAGAGAGAAATGTGCCGGCGTGGGTAATGAGTGGTTTGGTTTTTAAAATTACATAAATACCCATAATTTTTATGAAGTGGCAGATTTTAGTCGGGGTAGTTTTGTACAATAGTTTTTCCATCATATATATATATATATATATATTAGAATTGTAAATTGAAAAGCATTTAGGGATAATTTAGTCTTTTAATCTAGTTTTGTAGGTCAAAGAACCATTTTGACAAAGTCAAAGGGTATTTTAGTTAATTTACATGGTGTCAGAGTTCTGCATATGACGATTGGGGTGTGAATGAAAAACGGAATAAACATTTACAGTATGAGTGATAGTAATTTTTGAAAGTTATTTCAAAGTGATATTTGTCCAAATTTAAGGGGGTGTGAATAAAATTAACCCAAATAACAATAATAATAATAAAAACACGCACTTACTTCACTGAGGGTATAAAACCTTTAACTTTTTATTCCAAAAGTTAAAGAAATACCACTATATTATATCCCTTTCACTAATCCGTAGTATTTGTAAAGACTGTCTTTTCACATAGAATTATTGGAAATCCCATCCCTTTAAGGATGGAATTAGTTGTGCAATTAAAGAGATCAGAGCTAATACAAGTACACACAATTGGTTTATTGTACTTGCGTGGGTAGACGGGTGTTACTGAAGGTGGGAGTTGTCGGGGTTCTTTCTCGATAGTTGAGGTGGGTCGACAAGTTTTAGTGAAGGTGGGGAGTTGTCAGGGTTCTTTCTTGATAGTTGAGGGGCAATGCCCATGTGATTGTCTAATTGAGAGGAAAGGCTGTAGCGAAATTAAACAAATAATAATAATAATAATAATAATAATACAAGAAAAAGATTAAACACATGCACAATAAAAATATATAAATTTATTTAGTTCACCTGAAATTTAAGACTACATTTAAGAAATTGGAAAAATTTTACTATAATACAACAGTAAATACAGAAATCAAAATTAATAAATACACTTATAAATGCAAAAATTATCAAAATACTTTTAAGAAAAATTCGAATTCGGGCGCTCCACAATACCGATCAAAGGTCTCATGGACAACACTTTGATAAGTGACGGAAAATGATTTTTTGAGAACTCAAAGTCTTACCTAAATGCATCCAAGAAATAATTTTGTTGGACTTCACCTTTAGGTATACTATTTTCAGACAGTGTATCCAAGAACTAATTAAATATTGTGTTTTATTGTTATTATTTTAAAATACTATCTTCCAAATTTCACTAAAATTTGTAAACAAATAACATCTTTTTATGGAATGATTGAGGGGGGCACTTGTCTTAAAAGGGATTGGTATTGAAAAAGACTATACGTAATTATTGTTACATTGATAAGATGATAACTTTAATAAAATACCTAAACAATTAAAATCTTTTCACATAGAATGATTAAAGGGGCACTTGTTTTAAAAGAGATTGGCATTGAAAAAGACCATACGTAATTATTATTATATTGATAAGATGATGCTATTGGACGAGGTTCAATGTTTGTTGTATGGATTCAAGTTGATCTCGAGTATATTTTTGATAAATCAAATAATAAAACATTTTCAAACCAAATTACTATTAATTTATGGTAAATCAATTAAGGTATTGATTTGATATTTGTTTCACAATAACTCAAATTTATTGTCAAACAATAAAATAGAGTTTCATTATCGAACTTGAATCAAAGCCGATGAGAAATAATTGAGTTAATATTGGTCTTTGAACATGTGATGCTAACTTATAACCAATTATTTTGGTTTGAATAAAATTGAAATCGAACTACTCAGAGTTTGGCTCAATCAAATCCATAAACTGTGTGCAAACAAAAAAAAAAAATTATAAACTAGTTCTTGAATTGGATTTGAATTTCAAAACAAGAATTATTAAGTTTTTCGAAAAAATAATTATTTGATGAATGAGCATAGGAGGATTGTATGTGATTGACGAACCGTGAACGGAAAAACTCTAATGGTAAATGGTATGTTTAGTTGGAGGGGAGGACTTTAGGAAAGATGGATGAGAGGGAGCATAAAATAATTTTCCGTATCAAAGCCCTATGTCTAAATGGTGTCTCATCTAGCTCTAAAAGTGAATGGCGAGGGTTTGAATTTCGAAAGGGACAAAGTTGGTGTGTGAATGGTTAATTTGTTTCTACCATTGAAAAATAATAAATAAATAAATAATTCTTTTTCATGTTTAGTTGGAGGAAAGGAAAGAGAGGGAGGAAGCAAGAATGATGAAACATTTCGTCCTTTCTTTGTGTTTTTCTATCCACCCAAAATTGGGGGAAGAATATAGAAAAAGAATGATAATAGGCAACAAATATATAACTTTCATTTTTCACCTTCCTAAAATTGGGAGTCACTCTTTATTTTTATTTTTTTCAAAATGTAAAAAAGAGACTTGACTTGTATTGTAAACATGTGGATTTGATAAATTATCACCGGAGCATGAGTAAAAAATTATTTGCATAACTTGCTGTTCAAATATCTCAATGTTTTTACATAATTTGAAATGAATATTTAATTTTTATAATTTTGTATAGGAAAAATTACATGCCAGTCATACTTTTACCCCTTAAAGACAACTAAGTTCTATTTTTTTTTTATTTTTTTTTTATTTTTTTATTAAGACAAAAAAGTCCTACTTTTGACATGTATTGCCAACAAAATTCTGTTAAAAATAAAATACCTCTTTTACCCTTTTCATACATTTTCTAATGTATTATTGGTTGAAAATTTTTGTCTGGAGATTTTAATCAGCTGCCGTAGTGCATCTACTTGTGTCATCACGTTGTAATAGTAATTTTCCTTTTTTTAGCTCCTAGTTTTGGAACGTTCTATTCCTCTGTAATATATGAGGCATATCTTAAGTCACAGGTGGTTCATTATTTTATTTTTAATTTTTTTTCTTCATTTTCTTCTATTTGATTACATCAAACTTGCATGAGTTGGTAAAATACCAACAAGAACATAAAAGGACAATACAAACACCCAACATTTAATCCTCCCTTTTTGGAGGAGGGAAAGGAGAGTTGTCCTTAGAACACATAATTTGTTTTGCACAATGCAAACACTCCAATAAGTTTAAATGAGTGAACAAATATTTAAAGTGTAGTGCACTGACTGTGTAATTGTTTGATAAATTTGAGAACTTATGTGTATATATATATATATATATGTATGTATGTATGAATGTATGACATTTGTTCTATATATGAAAAAAAATGGATGAGTTTAGTATAGTAACATGGGCACTATTGGAAAAAAGTTATATATTTGAACTTATTTAGAAATAGATCTCAAAAGTAGAATTTTTTTGTCGGATTAAAATTTTATAGGACTTCATTGTGTTTAAGATGTAAAAGTAGGACTAGGTTATAATTTTTCCTTTTATATAATGAGGGTATATTGATAAAAATAGTATACATCCTTTCTTTCCCTACCATCTAACCAATAAATAAATTAAAGTCACTCAATACATCCCTTTCTATTATCTATCCCATCCAATTAAACAATAAGTGAGAAATATACATTTTCCTTTCTTATGATGTCTCATTCATCCCTCCCTTCCTCCTTCCCTCCCTTCCGTCTATTTTTCCGTCCCTCCAACCAAACAGAGCATAAGTCGACATCATTAAGGATAGCAAAATATCACACCTCGTCAGGTAGCTACCCCACCCCGTGGCCCATTTAGAATGGTTAGGGGGTGGTTAAATGGTTTTAGGGTGAGGATGGGGTCAAATTGAAAACTCGCATAATTATGGGGTGGGGATGAGAAAAGGTCATCCCGTCCCGCCAGTTTATAGTGATAAATTACAATTTTGTGCTTATACTTTATTTTATATTCTATAATATTAAGTATATATTAAGTAAATCATAGTTTATTTTACTCTAATCACTAAATATCCTTTTATATTATTCTTATTTGAGAACTTCTATTTATTATTTTGATGTTCATACAATAATAATAATATTAAGTATCAAGTTCTAAGTGAAAAGTTGAATCTTGTTTTTATTTGCATAAGTTTTTTTTTCAAAAAATAGCATAAGTGAAAATTTGTTTCATTTTTGAACCTTTGTTACATTCGTAATTCAATTACGAAAGTACCTACAAAACTCGTCTCATCCCTGCTCCTGTCGCGCCTCACCCAACCCCTGCCTCGTTTAATAAACGGTTTTGAATTGGGTTGGAGGTAGTTATGTTAAACGGGGATGACGGTGGTGTTCCTCATCCCTAACCGCCCCGTTACTATCCCTAAACACCATCATTGTAAAAAATATAAAATAAATAAAATAAAATTATGAATTTGAACTCTGAAAAGGGGTGTCAATTAGTGTTGGCCGATTATAATCGTATCACGTCGTGACTGTCGTCTTATTAGTATTCTGCTAAACAAGTTGACTCGAAAATGACCTGTTGAATAATCGTGTCAAAAATTTTCGACACTAACATGACCCGTTTATTAAACTGGTTACGCATGAGCAACTTGTTTAACCCGATTAATTTGAATGGGTAGTGCAACTTGTGAATTAATTTATGTATTAAAAAATATATAATGAAAAATTTGAGATAATAGAAAATAAAATTCTTGAAAATGATAATAATTTGGACAATACAATTATAAAAAAGGCCAAATACAATATATATATATATTGAATTTATATTGAAATAATAGAAATGAATGTATTAATTAGGTTAAAGAAAAATGTTACGAGTTAATCTGGTTAACCAAATAATAGAGATGAATATATAAAATCGGGTATTTTGACCAAATAATAGAAATAAATATATAAAATCAGGTTAAATATGTTGAGCTTCAAAACTTCGAAACAACATGATTAATTAAATAAATTAATACAATTATAACTTAAATACGTTTAAAATTAACTTAAACTCATGAACTCAACTTAACTGAATTGTTGAGTTTGGATCGTGTTGGTGGGTAGTATCGAATTTTGCCACCCACGCTACAAGAGTTAAGGGTCGGATCATGATGTTCTTCGAATATTTTCTTCAACTTTTTGAACACAAGTCATCCAAGTGGCCTCCTATTATTGCTCCCGCTCTAAGCCCCACCTGCATCTCCGCTCGCAGGTAAATATCTCTCTCTCTTCTCCCTTCCCTCTCTTCAAGAGATTTATTTCTACCTCGTAAATACCTCCTCCGAGTCTCTCTCTGCTTTGCTCTTTGTTCAAATTGTCCAATCCCTTATTATCAGATTCACATCTCTCTTCTACAGTTGAAATATATAGATATCAGTTTGATACCTTAATTTTTTCGTTAATTAATTAATTTAGATTCGAATCAATCGGCGATTCTTATTCATTGTAGTGAGTGATAGTATATAGATATACATATATATAGAGAGAGATTAGAGAGAGAGAGTATGGCATCTGCACCGATGAACAAGATCGAGAGAGCTCACCAGATGTACCGTGACGGAGGATACGAGGAGGCCTTGAGGTTCTATACAGAAGCGCTTGGGATGGCCAAGACGAAGCCCCAGAAGATCGCTCTCCACAGCAACAGAGCCGCTTGTTATTTGAAACTTCACGATTTTAAGCAGGTTCGGCCTATTCAGATACTTATTCTATTTCAATTTTCATGAACTGAGACCATTATTTGCTTTTGTTTTCTTCGATTGAATTCAAATGGACGTTGTGACTCTCTAAGAATTCGATTGGTTCAAAAATTAATTTATTTCAGTAGTGCAATGGACATGATTTAGCTCACTTACTATTGTTCTAGATTATCAGTAAATTAACTGATAAAAGCACTCAAGACTTTGAATTTGGAATGTGAGCTGCTTAGTTGTCAAAAAGTCTGCCGGCTAAGAACAGTTGATTGATCTATTATATGTGTGTATTTGCTAAGATATACACAACATATATTTTGTGTTAGCACGACTAGTAATTATTCACATACTAGTAATTACACATATTCTGCACCCGTGAGGAGAGGAAGATTGATCTGCATAGAAGGTAAGAGACAAAAAGGTCAACCAAAACTAACACGGAATGAAGTTATAAGAAATGATTTCAAAAAATTAAATCTAGTAGAAGATATGGCCTGTAATAGAAAAGAGTGGAAAAAGAGAATCCATGTGACCATCCCCGTTTGCACGGGATAAAGGCAAGGATGATAATGATAGCAACTAGTAATTATTCATATGCATGGGTGTCAGGTATTTGTGAAAGATGAAAAAATAAAAATTTTAAGATAAAAGAAAAAAAAAATTTTCTGAATTGAGAACAAATAACAGTGTAACAAGAAGAAGGAAAGAAACATTTGTTATGAAACTGTATATAAGAACTAACAGAATTACAAAACATGACCAATTTAACTAAATGTTTAGAATCAAGCAAGAGCAAACATGGTGGTTTAGTGTCTATTATATGCTTTAACCTTGAGCTCAACTGGCTTTAATCTGTTTGTCAGTGACTTAAATCGGCTTGTCTTAAGGTTTCAGCCGGACTTTTTCAATAGTAGGTTACTTCAGTAGATTTTTCTCTTGCTTTTATCACAGTGTTGGTATCACCAGTATGTACTGTTAAAGTGTGATATAGCATTTCAGCTCTTCTTCTCACCTTAAAATGACAAAATATCTTATCCAACATCTACCTTAAAATCGGTATAGGATAGCCTTGGCCAGACTCAAATATGCATACATTAGGGTTATAATAGATTCAAAAAATTAATTCACATAGTAAGAAGGGTTGTAACCATTGGGGTTTTCCGTAGACAACCTTTAATATTGCTCGGTGATACAGTAAAAGATTGTCAGGCAAAGAGAGTGAATGCAGGTTAGACTCTAGTGGAAGCCGTGCAAATAAAACCACAGATTAGGTTACACCCTTTTAAACACCATGAATTGTGTAAGGACCATGATAAAGTAATGGATTTTATCTAGAAAGCATAGATACTTCATCTAGGGTACCATGACGGTGTCGGACACTCGGACATGTGTCGGACACGGCCAGCTCAGACACGGCCAGAAGTGTCCTCAAATTTAAATATTTTATTTTTTTACTTGGACACGGTTGAGACACGGTACAGACACGTTTTGGACACTTTCAGATAATGGCAGGGTGGTTTTGTAATTTTTTTTCTAGAAGAGTGGGAATTCAATGCAATTTGAAATATATTATGGGTTAATTGGAAAAATAATATATACTTATAAAAAAAAAAGAAAAGAAAAAGAAAAATAATATACAATTTAAGAAAATGAAAATACCAAACATATGGGTTAATTAGAAAAATAATATACAATTTACGAAAACGAAAATACTAAACATCTAGGTCAAAGCTCCAAATAAGCGATTTCATCGATGATTGTATGGATAAAATGAGAAATTTTTTTTTTTTAAATATATAATAATATATGATATTATTATTTTTTGACGTATCCATGCCATATCCGTGTCCTTTTTTTTTTTTAACTGTATCGTGTTGTACCCGTGTCCGTATCTGTGCTTCCAAGGATTTTATCCATAATAGTCCAACTTGGAAACAAGTAATGATAAAAGCTGGCTTTGATTTGAATTGATGTAATGTTCAGGCCCTCGTTGGGCGGTTTGGCCTAAAGTAGGCTTAAAAGGACACTGAACAGCACAACCGAAGCTGCACCAATAGTTAAATTACTGATGGCTGTAATGATAGGGTATTGAAATTGTTCTAGGTGTGGCTTGATTGTTTGAACTTTTTTATTCTGTTAAACTTTTCATTTGCTTTATGAATAGAATATTTAGACATGATTTGCATATTGCAAACTTCTGCTCATATTGAGTTACTGGTGATTCAATTTGTTATTTAGCCCAATTAATAATATGAATAAAAGTAGTTTCAAAATATGATATCTTCTGAGAATGAGTAGTGCTTGAGCTCTAATAATAATTAGTTTCTTTCTTCTTCTTCTTCTTCCCCTTTTTTTTTTTTTGTCAAATTTTTTTTGTCAAATTTCTCTCAACAGTATTATGCTCGCGAAGTTGTTGTAACTTGGCTATCAGAATAATTTTGTTGAACATGAAGCGAGAAACTAACTTTTATATAAATGTATATATGTGTATATAATATGTATTATATAAATGAGAGGAGACAATAACAAAGAAACGGAAAGAAAGAAGATAGAAATTTTCTTTTTTGTTTTAAATTTTTATTTATTAATTATGATTTTTTTTAAAATTTTTATTTCAAGAATTTAATCATCTCTAAGGGCTTATCTAATTTTGCACCAGTATAACTTATTTATGGGCTCCATAAAGCCTAAAAAACAGATAGAAAATATTGGAAACTCTTCTCACCCATTCTATTAACATATTAAGAGTTGAATTTCCTTCCCGAAACCCTTAAAAACATCCAATAACAAAAAATACTACTTATTTATTAAAAATCTTAATATCACTAACATTTTTTAAAGTTATTTGATTTTCACGTAATCTGTTTTTGGTCCCACATAAAAAATGCATCTGAAAATTTGTGTTGTGAATCTGCTATGATTATTTCATATTTTACCATCAAGTAGGCTTACTGTTGCTTGCCTTTTGAAAGCAGACGTGTGGGCTTGCCCCTGCTTTGTGAATAGGTTATATGTGTGTATATCTTAGGAGGTACACGGAACACATCTGGAAGAAAATTATTATGATGTCGTGTCCTCACTTGTGTGTGTACAGTGAATTGACTTTTTGGAGAACCAAAAGGATCACATGGTGACTTTTCGTGCATTTGGGAAATGCCACATTAATATTGGAGTTTTAGCTGGTTTGATAGAAATGAGTGGATTAGGATGAAAACATCCATTTCCGTTCTCATTAGCAATGTGGATTATTGTCTTGAGAGTTGAGATAATATATGCTAGCTTTGCAACTACTTTTTGTTTTACTGCTATTGCTTATTTGGAAGAAAGGAGTATGTTGCGCTTTTTTCTATCTTGCAGCACTGGGGAAGAAATATCCGAGCAACTGAAGATGTCCTATTACTTAGTTGTCTGCTGTCATGCCAATGCTTCCCCATGACTCAAAGTCCGGGTCCTTGAAGTAATTAAATAATTTCACGAGTGAGGAAGAATAATGCATACTAGGTTTACCAAAAGACTTCATATAAATTTAATGAACTTTGATAGAAACTTGAAATCACTCAATTTAGCATGCAATAATCTCCAAACAACTATTAAACCCGTGGCAACTAATCAAAGCTCAAGTGTATCATGCAATAATATTCGGAAGGGAACTTTTATTATTAGGGACTCAATGAACCACAATCCATTAGAACATGCCAAAGAAGACATCACATGGGTTAAAATAATGTAAACAGAAGAGGTTGAATATCAAAAAAATGGATGCAAAGGGAAAGGGTTATGAAACAATAAAATAAAGGAAGGATCTTGTATAATAGCAGCATGGACTTGTATGAGCAAAAGAAGTGCAACAAGCCACCTGGTGAGGACTTCCAAACAGCATTTGAGAGAGGTTGTTGGCTAGTAAAGCAGAGAAAAAGTCCTATTTCTTTTTCGTCTCTCCTGCATTTTTATTTGTATTTCATGTTGATGATGAAAATTATGAAGATTGACACTCTACTTCTTTATGCCAAAGAATTCTAAGTCCCTAGTTCGTGTTAAGGTATTGAACTTTGTACTAGAAAATGTTTTGGGAGGCAAGGGCGTATTGTACTTGAAAATGTTTCGGGAGGCAATGGCAGATGTAGGATAGAGCGACTGATTTAGTAGTATGAAAATAAAATTCAACCTATTAATATGAAAATATTTTAAAATTATGAATTGTACTTCTTTTGCAATTTCATTAAGTGGATAAAGTGTAAATAAGAGGGGTTTACGGGTAATATTTGGATTTTCTAACTAAGGCAAAATGGAACCAAATTGAGGCTCTTTATAGGATCAAGGGGCCACACATCAAGTTTTTTTAATAGTGGGACAAAGATTTTTTAATGGTGGGACAAAGAAGGAGAAGTATAGATAGGGGAGGGAAGCCAGCTTTAAAATTTTTTGAATTCCAAAACTTTCTTTAAAAGGAAAAATTGATGTCCTGTATGTATGGTTATTGAGGAGATTTCTTAAAGCAAGTTGGGGCAAAATTAGTGACAAACTAGGAGAAGTAGGTGACAAGCTTCTCAAAACTGTCCACCCCAATGAGGCGAGGCGAGAATTTATAGGACAATGCTAAATATTTTAAGATAACAACCATTGTTTTCTTACTTATGTGTCATCATTGCCTGTGATCCTAGAAACAAATAACATAAGTTGTCATGTGCACTGCACGTGATCTTTTAAGTGAATGTAGATATCTCCCGCATCATATGGATATGCACGTAAGAATAATTACAAAGATTTACACAACAAAGTAAAAAAGAGAGAGAAAAAGAAAAAAAAAGTAAAAAAGAAGAAAAAGAATTGTCAATATCAAGCAAAAGACTAACTATTTCCTAACATTCTAAGCAACATCAAAGAGTGGCATGATAGGCATTAAGAAACATGTGTGGTAAAAGGGGAAGGGGAGACCAGAAGTAACATATAACAAGACATAGTAACACGTGTTTAACCGAAGTTATGGCTTTGTAGAGTAGAATAACTAAACAAGATTCATTTATCATGACCCCAGATCGTTGCGAAGGCTTTTATTCAGTGGAGGTGAGTTATCATGTCAAGGCTTTGTGCTTGGTGGTTATTTCTCAAATTTTAACCTTGCATGCTTATATGAATTTTTGCACGTTGGGGCAAAACCTCCTTTTCATGCACAAACCAACACACACACACACACACACGCAAAAAGAAGAATAAAGAACTTATTATTGAAGATGAAAATCATGTTTGAATCTTGTTGGAAGGTTTTGGTAAATATTTATTGACAATCTCCCTACTATCTTAGGCAGCAGAGGAATGTACCTGGGTGCTTGAGCTTGACCAAAAGCACACTGGAGCATTGATGCTGCGGGCTCAGACTCTTGTCACCCTCAAGGAGTATCACTCGGCACTTTTTGATGTCAACAGGCTCATGGAGTTGAATCCATCGTCAGAAGTGTATCAAAACCTTCATGCTCGTTTGAAGACACAATTGGTAGTCCCTAACTTGTTTTTTGTACATATTATACATCCATGTGATTTTTTACCGTTTGAAGGCAATAGATAATCCCTCCAATCTTCTTTTCACTTGGTTTTGTAATTTTTATTTTATTTTTTTATTATGGTTTACTGTTTTTTCAAGGAATAGATTAGGATCCAAGACCAATATAGGATGTCATTATTGCTCTTGTGGCGCATTTGAATGGAGACTCACATTCTGATCCTGATTCATGATGATTCTAATTTCTGTCTTCTTGTCTAAATGAATGTGATCACCTGTTTTATTCACAACCTGCAGGTTTTTTTACGAGGATGATTCTTTGATGTTTTGTAGTGACACAAGTTCACTTTTCTTTCTCTCTCTCTCTCTCTTTTATTCACCTTCTCATTTCTCAGATAATATAATGACCTACAAAAATTTATTGTGATAAACTGAGTGCTATGCTCTTCCAGTCATGATTTGCTTTTGATGCAATATAGTATGTGACGTATCATATGATGGGTGCAAGTTTGTTGCATTATAGCATTTATCATAAAGAATTGTTGTACTATGGAGTTGCATATGGCTGCTAAAAATCTCGGTTTCACATGGTTGAAATCTGGGACTGTTGGAGGATTTCCAAATATGTTCAGTGTGTCATCACATACAGTGCCATATTACCGCCAAATGAAGAAGGCACCTTCAGTCCTTTTCTTCTCTTCTCCAAACAGCCTGCATGTCTCCTCAGGAATTATTGTATTTGTTGTATTTATAATTGTAGCATAAATTGTGATTTTATTGTTATTGATATTTGGGCCAATATTGTGATTTCTTTAATCATTGATCTTTGAACTGTCAATAAGAGCTAGTATTTGTTTTGCTCAAGGAAAGTCACTTGCTCCAATACCTGAAGCTGAAGCAGAGCTAGAGGAAGAGGAAGAGGAAGAGGAAGAGGAAGACGATGAGGCAGAGCCAAAAAGAGCTGAGGAAGAAAAAGAACTGGAAAAAAGAGAGGATCAAGAAATAGAATTGGAAAAAAGTGAAGATCAAGAAAAAAATGTGATAGATAGCTCAGTCACAGTGGAAAGAGATCAAAAGGCCGAGTTTAAAAGGACTATTCCTAATAATGCCCCTCAAACTTTGAGCGGCAAGGAGTCATCTGAACAGAATTCCAAAGGATGGCAAGCGATCCCAAAACCAAAAGGACACTCACATCTCGACTACTCAAGGTGGGACAGAGTTGAAGATGACTCTAGCGAAGAAGATGATGATGAGGATGATGAAGAGTCTCAACCTCAGTATCGGTTCCGTTTGAAGACTGTTGGGGTACGACCAGTTAATTGAAAGGACAAATACATACACAGTATTTATCATATGAGTTGGCTATTCTAGTTCTTGAAGTAGTCTATGTGAAGAGATTAACAACAGAACAGATGGAAAAAGAAACTGTGGTTTCTTTTCATCAGCATTGTACACGGGAAGCCCAGGTGGGTTTGGTACCTAAAACAGTCATTTGAAACCGCTAGAGCTGTAAGAAATCAGCTTCCATGCGTAGGTGGCTGTGAATGCATAAAACAGACGGTTATTCCTGAACTGATAGAAGCAGAGAAATCTGTTTTGTGGATATCTGGCTCAACAAGACTCGGGGTGGTTATTCCTTTTGTGCATGATTCATTTCTTCGGGCTGCTTAACAAAGTGGAGAGAGTGCCTATTATTGGTTAATTGGTTCTCTGAATGTGTATATCGTGTCTGTAGATTGAATTACATGCCTGTTGCTGTACAGCATCTCAAATTCTTTAATTCTTCCCTTGAGTGCTGAGTGTGCATGAGAATGGAATGAGGGCTTAGAATCTTGTGGCTGGCCTGGATTTGGGTGGCAGTTGTATCCGCAAGTTCTGCTTTCTTTTCCTATGATATATCAGAATCAAGGGGAAGCTGAACTTGTATGAATGTTATACACAATTTGAGAGTTTTTATTATGCAAGATTGATATTGTTTTTAATTAAGAGCTTATGTTATACGCCTTTTATCTTGTTTTGAAGAAAAGATGGGGGCAATCTTATGTTGGTCCAAGTTTGATATCCTCGAATTGTCCAGAATTTATGTTACATGGTAGGAAAATTCTTTTTAGACCCAGTATTTCAGCTCAAAAGATGTTCATAGGGGCATACACGCACCAACACAATAATAGCGTCTCTTTATCTTATGGAACTTATATCTTTATATTTAACATTTCTTTAATTTTATGTCTTTAAGTCAGCACCTAGCTTTATTTTGTTTTATAATGTTATATCTACCTAGTTTATTGAAGCTCTTTTCTCAAGTCCTAGTTTCCAATACAATGCATTAGGAATGGGGTTCATATACCTTTGAAATAAGTGTACCACACTCAGCATAAAATTTAAAAATATGCATCTACACAATGCACTCTATCCTCCATCCCTACCTTGCACCAATTTTTGTCTTGATTAGCGTTTAACTCAGGTTAATTTCTACCTCAATTGTTCTATGAGAATACGTTTCGATTCATAACCTGTCGGTGAATTTTTTATGGCACATTTGCATCACGCGGAGAATGAAAAGGTGTGAAAGATACCCAAAAAAATAAAGAAAAAGACAAGAAAAAAAGTAGTATGAAATGAGAAGTTCTCAAGAGAAAGGGTGAAAGTGAAAAATGTTTAAATTAGTTAGAAATTTGTACAAATAAATTACACTACAAGGTCGTTTTACAATTATAACTAATCTAGGGTCATAAATGTAATTTTGAAAAACATGATAAGTAGGAAATAAATGTAGTATCAAAACATAATGGTACTATAACGATTAGGTTTCGATTTCACGAAACCATCGTTTCTTGGTGGCGAAGCAGTGAATACCCTAGCCCTAGTATCAGCCACATCCGACGATCTCATCCTCTTCCGGCGAACTGTTCCGTCTCCGGCATGATTTTCCGGCTTCGGAGTCGTCGAATCTCATCTAAATCATCAAATCGTATAAAGGTAATTCTGATTTCTTTCTTTTCTAATTCGCTTGCCGTGTCCACTCTACTTTCATATATCGGTGTATCGACACAAATACTTAGGGTTAAAGAAGCGAGGCCATGTAACACAGTCTTACACTATTTGGTACCCTTTTGTTGAAGGGTTTTGTATTTCTGTGTGGGATAGATAAAGAGTTTTAACGCCTTCTTTTGATTTCTGTGTGGTTAGGAGAAAATTTAGCTGTGTTTATTACTATTATGCTTCAGATTTGGCTGTCGTTTGAAACGTGTAAAGTGATTTTAGGAAAAGAATTTGTGCTTAATTTGATAGTCTTAAGGAGAATTGTTTGTTTAAAGAATGCCAAGAGGATTTGAGTTGGAAATCTCTAATCTTTAGCTTTCCATGTTGACGATGGTTGATTAATCTCTAAGATGCCCTGATATTTTATTAGGTGATTTGAATTGGCTAGGCAGTGAGTTCTGTTGTGGTACAGACTGTTTTACTTTTCTCTTTTAGACGGATTACTCGGGTTGTTCACGTGGCAGTTCTGAGGCAATATTGTCAATCTACATTAGACTGTTTACGGCTAAGTTATCAAAGATATAAGTAAAAGCTTGAACCTCACCCACTAGCACAGTTTTCCGTAGGATCAGGAAAAGCATTGTCCTATGACAACTTAGGGTGGCAGCTTTAATTTGTAATGTGAGAACTGTTTCCACTTATCATAAAAGTTAAATGGATCATAATGCCAAATAATTTATTCGTTAAAAGTTTTTGCACTTTTTAAATTAGATAGATTACCCAAATCATAGCTGTGGGAACACATACAAAGGACCTTTTCTACATGTCTACTTCATAGAGTACTTTTGAATAGGCCATACGCAAAAAGTAAATATTGGGAGATAAAGATTTTGGGCCACTGTGGTGCTCTTTAGTAATTTTTTACAATCATGAGGATGCGGGCTCGAGTCTCGAAGCAATTAGTTTTGCAAAATAAAAAAAAATGATGGGTCTATTTCAATCTTCTCCTCCTAGCACCCCAGAGGAATACACTCGATAATGCATTCTATTTTGGAGTACTTTTGTGTTAATCTTCTTGTGGGCAATTTACCAAATTGATGCATTTTTTGGGTGCTCTCTGGCATTCCATATCAAGTTGATTGGTAAAATCCAGATTGTTTTGGTTGTTGATTGGCAAGTGAACAGTTAACTTGCTTCTGGTTTAAGGGTTAAAGCAAAGAAGTTGAGCGAACAAATAAATATGCTTTCAGCAGTTTGAGGAAGGAGAGAGATTATTTGACAATGTCTCTATCATTCAAGTTTTATAGAAAAGGAAATTCTAATTTGTTGGATTATATCCAATAAATAATTTTGATATTGGAGAAAAGATAGTACCTTGAGTGGTTATTTATGTTTCTTCTAATGTTGCCCTCATATCCTACCCATTTGCATTTCATGCCCCAACCCTAGGTCCAAAAACATGTGCCATTTGGAGTGATGATAATATGTTAAGAATGTTTAAATATCTAGTCATTCCATAAAATTCCAAGAAATAAATTTAAATACATAAAGACTAATTAGTACTACTCTGTTTGGTAGGAAGGAGGGAAGAGGGATGGATAGAAGATACTAATCTTCATAATTTAAGAAATATAGTAATACTTGTGTATTAGTTTATATAACAAGGGTATACTTGTAATAAAATATAAAATCTCTCATTCCCTTCCTTTTAGCCAAACAAAAAAGGTGTCACCTCAATCATCCTTTCTACTATCCTTCCACTCAAGTCTTAACCAATGTCAAACTCTAATTTAATGCTCCTTCCACTCTACAAATTATCTTGTCCTTGTGCCATTGAGTTTAAAGATTGGAAAAATCCAATGCTTAGACACAATACCCACATTTGACACATGTACTTAACTCCAATTTTTTTTTTTCTTGTGAGTTTCATGTGCTAAAAAGGGGAGCACATCCAAGAGAACTTCTCTACAGCCTCGAACTATACAAGCTCTCCCTACCTCTCCCACCCCTTTCGAATGAATTTTCAAACCCAACTAAACCTGGGGTTCCACCTGGAAGCCTCCCAAAAGGCCCAAATTCACCGCCCTCCTCAACAATATGCTAAGTGCCTCTATCACAATAAGGAACAAAAAGGGAGAAAGTGGATCCCCTCTCAACCTAAGTCACAAGATTCGTTCAACTGGGTGACGAATCAGAGCTCTGCATGTGTATTTGCGATTTGGGAGTGAAAACGGCATAAATTCGCGAACTCGGTTTTGAGAATTTGCGAACTCATTTTCAAAATTCGCGAATCCACACAAAATCACAGAATTTGCGGACCTTTTTCTTCACAGAGATGACCATCAATCTATTGTTCCCTCAGCTATTGTATTAGAAAGAGAGCAAGATAACATTCTCTTCGTAGATTGAGTTTAGGGTTTCCATTGCAGAGTGATAGCCTTAGAAAGGGAGTTGCAGCGGTTGTGGATTCTGTTGTTGCAGATGGAGTTTAGGGATTTTTGTTTCAAACTGGTTGCTGAAGGAAAGGTGTTAGCAGTGGGATATTCAGACCCTCAGAGGCTAGTTTTGGCTTAATGACTTATCTTTCTGCTCTACAGATGAGGCCCTTTCTTTGGCCATATGGGGTGGCTTCAGACAGTTCAAGTTATGAGAGGGGCGGAGCTTCTTGAGGCGTGGGATTTTAGGGTTTCCTCTCTCTAGGTAGGAAATCAATCCAATGGTTGTGATTAAATTATGAGTTGGGCTATTGGGCTTTCAGTTAATAAGATGAACTTCTAAACATTAAAATATTAATTGGGCCAATAATATAATAAGTAACCTGGGCTTAATTTGCAGCCCTTAATATAATCATATTTCAAATAAAATAATTACATAAATATAAAATATATAATATATACAAGCGCTCTCAAGACGCTCCCACTCTCTACTAATTTTAACAACTATGATCCTTTCCACACCCCCCATATGATTAGTGCCTCAACCTACTAGAAGCTCACAGCATGTACGTCTAGTCATGTTCCATGGATCATATGATTCATATTGCTTAATCTTATTGTATATTTGATGAGATTCATGAACTTATTGTCAGCTACTTACATCAATTGTGTCTAGTAATTGATTCTGAATCTTTGTGATCATATAATATATTTTTAAAATCTACATAATTATTGCCTTTCTACTGTTGCAAAGTTTTGCGTTTGATTAGTTAATGCACATGTAAATCAGATATAGCGCGGCGCTACTGCTTTTGGAGCTTAGGCGCCCCTTTAACAACTATGATCCTTTCCATATCCCCCATATCAAATTAAACCAGGATTTTTTTTTTTTTTTTGAATTTGTTCCATCATATGGACCTCATTTGGACAAAAATTAAACAAGCGGAGGATATAAGTGGAGATATAGGCACTATAGAATCTAAATAATCCTCTTCCCTAATTATGGTTGCAAACTTGCAAGAACAACGATGAGAACATAACATGGGAATGCTCCTGTTACTTATCCTGTTGATTATTTATATTTTCTGCAATAGATTCCGTCATTCCCAAATCCCAATAAGCCTAAAACTGCTCCAAAGCGAAACCTAGGTGCTCAAGCATAAGTAAGATGAAGATAATGTCCAACATTTTTGTCTTATAAAACACAATAAATTTTTTTTACAATAGAGTAAGCATGATGAAGGTAGTGTCACTAACTTAATTTTTTTTTAGAATAGATTAAGCATGATGAAGGTAGTGTCTCTAACAATTGATAACGGGTAAAGGTAATTTTTGTCAAGGATCTCTCAATGTGCAAAGCTATACTTCCATCTTTTGACTAGTCACAAGTTTTTGTAAGGACAAGAATTCTTTGATTTTTAGACTTTATTTGTGATTTCCTAATCAACATAATGTTAGGTCTTCTTAGAATCTACTTTGAATATCGTTCCCCCTTGGCTTTTCTTCAATTTTCAGCTACATTTTCTTTTGGTAAGACTCTATCTAAGATCTGTCCAGCAAGAGAAACAAACCGGACCAGAATGAGCATCCGTAGTAAGCGTTTTTATATCATATTTTAGCATGGAAGAAATGCTAGTGCAATCACTAACATCTGACAAACTCGGCGATTGTTAGGACCTAGAATATTGTACCAATTCATTTCAAAAGTGGTTAATCTAGGTCCCGTTTGGTAACTATTTATGCTTACAATTTATTGTTTATATATACAGATTTTGAAGAAAAACACGTTTGTTAATATTGTTTATGTTTATCGATTATATAAATTCACTTATATAATTACTATTCACACAGGCCAATTTTATGATATTTGTGTGTTTTTTATTATTTATTTATTTATATATATATATATTTAGAAAAACATAGAGCTAATAAGCAAAACAAATATTATTCTTTTGGTGGGTCTTCATATTGGGTATCTTGAAATATTACTTAAGCAATGAGTACCTTCCGGGAAAAAAAAATTGATTAGACTAGCAATTTATTTCCTAAAGCCATTATAAGTAAGAAATAATTGGACACTTCATAGATGCTTTTATTATTTATTTAAAACTGGTGTTAATTTTTCTGTTTATTATTTTAAAAATAAGATAAACATTTTTACGTTATCAAACAATGTATCTGTTTATTGATAAACAAAAGCTACACATAAACCCTCATGATAAACAATAAACAAAAACGGTTACCAAACAGGGCCCTAATCCTATTGTCAAATGGCTGTTAGAGCCGTTAATCTATTATGGGATGTTTGGTACAAGAGGAGAATGAGAGAAGGAAAGAGAGGGAGAGGGGGGGGGGGGGGGGGTGGGTTGGTTGTGTTTAGAGAGAGAGAGAACTGGGGAGGGATGAATTGAGTTTCTTAGTCTGGGGAGGAGGGGGCCTTTCCCTCTGTAAGTGTATCATTTGTAAAATTATGCAAAATCTTTTCTGGGTGGTTGTGTTTAGAGAGAGAGAGAACTGGGGAGGGATGAATTGAGTTTCTTAGTCTGGGGAGGAGGGGGCCTTTCCCTCTGTAAGTGTATCATTTGTAAAATTATGCAAAATCTTTTCTGATAAACCAAACAAAAGAAGGGAATGATCCTGTCCCAGTATACCTTTTTCATCTCATTACTTATGTTTCTTCTAATTCTCTACTTCCTCTACCAAATTAATTATCAATCTCAGAATTGCAGTTCCATGCTATATTAATTACTTTATTTTGTATTCAGTACGTTCTTAATTCCTATTGATAATTGTTTTGACCCTGTATATAGCTTCTAGTCCCGTTTTATGAATTGTCATTAACTGTACTGTAGTGAACAGGTATCCTTGTTGGAGCTAACATAAGATGTAACATGCAGTTAGAGAATCTGAAAAGAAGTCATCATTGTGGTTACCTGTTCAATTTTTATTTTAGGATGTTTACCCCTTTGATTATGGTTCTTCCATTGCATCTTTGCGCGTACTTTAAAAAATTATTGCAGACTGTTTGTCGCGTATACCCTAATTTTCTGACCAATTTTTATGAACGGTATGCTATTTGGTTAGTGGTGATCTGAAGATTTTATTCACAAGAGAGATATCAGAAGAACTTCTATATAGGCTAGCTAGTTTTCTATTTCTTATTGAAAATATGGCTGGTTTGGTGCCGGGCGATGCCTCCCAACACGGAATGTATGAAGGCACACCTTACAGACTTTCTCAGGACAAGCCCGAGGAAGGTGGCCGTTGGTATTTCAATCGGAAAGAGATTGAAGAAAACTCTCCATCCAGGCTAGATGGCATCGATTTGAAGAAAGAAACTTATATACGCAAGTCATACTGTACATTCTTACAGGATTTGGGTATGAGGCTTAAAGTGTAAGTTCACGTGTCTTCACTTTTTTGGGCCTTTTCCCTTTAATTACATTCAATAGCTGGTATTGGCTGGCATTTAAAAATTATTATACATGCTTTTAAATTTTCTTTCAACCACAAATGTTTAGATACCAGGTTGTTGGCATTTAGTCTTTGTTTTGTTAACTCAATTAGTTTACATGAATAAGGTAATCAAATTAAGCATCTGTATGATAAATATGTAAACAAGTTGGCTATTGCATAAAGATAAGACTCCCTTTGCCTAACTTAAATGTCCTTTTTGGGGATTCCAATTTTTTATTTTTATTTTTTATTTTTAAAAAAGTGGCATGGAAAGAGTTCATTTCAAATATTGTCCATCTAAATTTTACTTTTTATCATGTTGACTTGTGTTCTAACTTTTCAAAAAGGGTAAATTCGGAATGTTTTGGATAAAAGTAAAATGACTTTTTGAAAGGTACATTTATTTTAATACATCCAAAATGAAAAGGGGTACATTTAGTATGGGACAAATGGAGTACTCTTTAAATAACGTCATATGTGAGAACAATTAAGAAGCCATTCACACACAAATATCTTGAAATACAGATAAGCAAGTAGTTTCAGTTATCTTTTTGGAGAATAATAGTAGTATTAGTATAGTTGAGGAAGTCTTAAAATAATTAACTCTCTGTAAGGTCCCTGGAGATGTAGGACCTTCTAATATATATATATTTTGTTTATATATATATTATGAGATTTACAGACCATTGGCAGTCACAGATCATAGTACCATATATATATATATTTACTATTAGCTTAATCTTGTTATTTTTGAAAATGTGAAGTCCAGCAAAAGAAAAAGAAAAAGACAAGAAAAGAAAAAATAAAACAAAAGTTAGCAGTTTTTGAATTTACTTAGATTTGTATGAGGAATGAGACATCATTTGCTTTCTCAACCCGAGAATGTATGCGGTATGCTGCATCTATAGTGAAAAATCTGAGGGGGCTTTCTTGATTATTTCAATAGTATTGGATATCTTTTCTAATACTTTTAGATTAACCACTATTTTCATTGAAATTGAAGTTCAAAACCTAATTGAGTGGGTTTATACAGTATGAGGTCCAGATTAAAGGAGCAGGTTGCATTTAAATCATCGTCATTACATATATATTACTTACTGCTCTAGCTAAGAGTACATGCAATTATTTCTTGTACTCCTTTCCATTTCTCTTAAACTATTAATAAAAGTTTTAGGCTAGTTTATCGTTTGGGTAAATATGTGAAACCTCTGTTTCAGTTTTTTGACCTTTCCATGGTTTCTAAGTTTTTATTTTTACCTCCAATATGATTTTAGTGCTAGCATCACTAAACTCCTTTGCAAATAAGTTGATCTTTTTTCTTCTGAGTGCAAATAAGTTGTGTTTTTAATGCATTCAATGTCTTTAGCCCTGTATTGAGAAAATAATATAAATGTTGAATTTTAAGGAAGATGACAGGAGATCAGTGTGCTTAAAAAACATCGTCGGAAGTAAGTGATATTGTCCCTAACCTTGGGGGAGGTTTTCTCTAATGTTAAACACCCATCCTCTTTCTGTATTTATAAATTCTTATCTTTAGCACTGAAGTTAAGGATGTTATTCATCATAATCTACAGTTGAGCCTAGACATTTTTTCTATGTGGAGATTACAATGTGCATTAAATTATTATTTTATATTCAGCAGATGTGATAGTGAATGTTTTGAAATGCAGGCCTCAGGTAACGATTGCTACTGCAATAATCTTTTGTCACCGTTTCTTCATTCGTCAATCCCATGCAAAGAATGACAGGAAGGTGAGTTTTTGGTTTATTTTTGCACTTAGTTTCTACTTTTTATTTTTATTTTTGCTTTAGATGGATGAGCAATTGTGGTGCCTAACTTCTCTTAAAATATCTTCCAGACCATTGCAACAGTGTGTATGTTTCTTGCGGGGAAGGTTGAAGAAACTCCTCGTCCTCTAAAAGATGTTATCCTGGTTTCTTATGAAATTATTCATAAAAAGGATCCTGCTGCAGTACACAGGATCAAGCAAAAGGTATTGTCTATAGTTTGGGTGCTTTATATTACTCACTTTTATTGGTTATTTTATTGAGTATTCCCTAGTAATTTAGATATATGTGTGTGTGTGTGTGTGGGTGGGTGTGGGTAATATTGGTTGCTTGTTTCTCCATGACACATAATCGAAGCTCCATCTTCAATCTCTCCTTAAATGCCCGTAACACAATGAAACTTAATGCTACTGCAAGTATAATAATAAAAGTAATTGATCCTTGGATATGTATGTTCCATTCCTTTAGCTTTTTTACACTCTCGCAAAGTAATCTCATTAATTGTGTTTAGTATTTGTTGTTTAAACTTAATCTATCTAATACATTTACATCCTTCATGCAGGAGGTGTATGAACAACAAAAAGAACTAGTTTTACTGGGGGAGAGGGTTGTACTTGCAACTCTTGGTTTTGATCTTAATGTCCATCATCCATATAAACCCCTTGTTGAGGCAATAAAGAAATTCAAGGTTGCTCAAAATGCCCTTGCTCAAGTTGCATGGAATTTTGTTAATGATGGGTATGACAGATTGCTTATTCTAGTTTCTATATAATACCCATCCATGGTCATTATTCCTTGTCTATTTTTGACCTGGGAAAGCGGCATGCAGGCTGCGGACATCTCTTTGCTTGCAATTTAAGCCCCACCACATTGCGGCAGGTGCCATTTTTCTTGCTGCCAAGTTCCTCAAAGTAAAGCTCCCATCCGATGGTGAGAAGGTTTGGTGGCAGGAGTTTGATGTCACTCCACGCCAATTGGAGGGTTCGTTGTTTGCTTTCCTTGAATAGTGATGCCATATACCAATATTGGATGCCACTATTAAAATAGATTTTCTGTTAACCCAATCAACCAGGTTTAACAATAACTACCCAATATTTAGGCGATCCTTTCCCTGAATGCTTGTATGTTTGCTCGCCCTACTGTGTTCATCTTTTTAGTGCATAAAATCTCATTATTTATGGAAGATGGATAATATTACAGGCACTTTTTTTTTTGGATTTCTTTATGGGGTGGGTGGGGAGGGTGTGAATGTCCTAGAGAAAAAAATGTTATTTTATCCGAAGTTAAATTTTATACTACATTGGGTATTTTTTATTCTCATTAACTGTGGTGGTTTATTTCTTGCAGAGGTTAGCAATCAAATGTTAGAATTGTATGAACAAAATAGAGCACCACTTTCTCAGGCTAGTGAAATGGAAGGAAGTGCTGGAGGTGGGGCAACTCATCGGGCCCCTTCAAAAGCTCCTGCTGGCAATGAAGAGCATGTTACAAATAATAGTAACTCTCAGGGTGGAGGTACTACTTCAAAGCCTGGAACCTTGAAGCCAGCATCGTCTAGGCCAGTGCCTGACCAGTCCTACGGTGATAATCATGGTGGTCTTCCAAACACCTCCCAAAGTCGAAATAATGACTATGGAAACACAGAAATGAAGAGTATTTCTGACCACAATGGTGAGATCAATGGTGATCAGCACCATGAACAAGAACAATTTATTCACCAGGAGAACATGGGAGAGGTTCAAAACAAATCAAGGTTTGGTTCCGATGTACATGGTGAAGAAGATCAAGAAAGGAGTTCTGGGAGAAATGAAATAAGAGAAGCAGGGCAATTCAAGGATAAATACCATGGCCGGAATCTGGAATATAGAGACGGTACACTTGGCCAGTCTCCTCAAGAAGTTATTAAAAAGATTGACAAAGACAAAGTAAAAGCAGCTCTTGAGAAACGAAGGAAGTCCCGTGGAGACATGCCTCGGAAAACAGATTTGATGGATGAGGATGATCTCATTGAGAGGGAACTGGAAGATGGGATTGAATTGGCCGCCGAGAGTGAAAAAGTGAAGCGGGACAGGAGGCAAAGCTTGTCCAAATCCTCAAATTGGCTGGATCATGAGAACCCACATCATGTGAAGCATAAAGATGATGGTGGAGATGGATACCACCAAGGGATGAAAGGGCAGTCATCACGTGGACAGGATTTTGAGAACGTGGAAGAAGGGGAGGTTGCAACATTTGATGATGCTGACCATGGATATCGGTCACCAAAGTCGAGCAATCGCAAGAGAAAAGCAGGGAGCCCAGTGGACAAACCATTGGAGGGAAGGCAGCGGCATGATTACACAACTGCCCCCCACCACCATAGTAACCACCATGAATTCCTGGAAGATAGAAACAGGTTGGGCAGGCTTGGTTATTCAGAAAGGGAGCACAAGAGGCATGTACAAGAAAATCATGTCTGAAGTTCTGTTAAAGCTTGTCAGAGCATGCCTCTGGTAGAGTTTTCTTCGTAGCCAGAGTGTAAAATGTGATTATGGACGGGTATGCTCTAAATCCGTCGTCCTGATTTGGCTGCCAAAAAGAATTGTTGCATCAGCCTAATAATATTGGTGGTGGGAAATGACTATTTTATAAGAGTATGAACCGTGGAGCTTCATTTTCAGGTTTAATTGTTTGGTTCAACTTCCATGCGGTACCACAGATAATTTGTGAGTGGCTTTGATTATCAATCAAAGCAGGTGTGTGGACATGTGTTATAGTAAATGTTATACCCCCTATTTAATGTCTGTGGTCTTCAAATATTTGGGACTATCAGTCTTTATAGGACGATGATTTTGATGATTGCTATGGTCAACTAGAGGAATTGAAATTGGGGACACTTTTGTTGTCTTCTAATTCATATATGTTTAGGCGATGCTGGTATTGTGCATTTACACAGTTGTTAAATCATAATTAGTCACGTTGTTATGCCCATTTTGGCCTGAGATATTCCCAGTACTCGATGAGCATTGTATTGTTTCATTCATCTTATGATGCAAGGGCAATAGATTTTACCATTTCAGTGTACCATCTATTATGACTAGTGAACTTTTGGTTTAAAAATGGTCACATGCTACTATTTAGCTGTTCCTGACTTTCTGGTCTTGCAAGAAGGCTTACCTGTTGCTTTTAGCTCTTCATTTCCAATGCTACTTCTTCGTTATTGGGTACCAAGAAGGTGAGGCTGAGGCCGATCTTACCAAGGATACTCCTGCTCGCTCGCCTTCAATCTTATGCAGCTTCCCATTTTGAACTCAAGGTCTGCAGTTTCTGATGGTACATTTCGTAAGGCATACTTCTTCATAGGCCACGAGGAACTGCTGGTTCAGGTGTTAGTATTACATGTCACTACCATGAACCAAATGTTCAAATAAAAAGGGAAAATAATTTTGAAATATAAATTATAATAAAATAATATCACGTGGGATTAGTAAAAAGTAGTATTTATTTGTTACTTTTTTTCATTAATCTATCTATTATTTCGGTTGCATTAGCATTACCTGACTAATAAATTATTAATTTGGAAGGAACTATGGTTTTCAACTTGAAATCTAGGCTTGTGATTCTAATTTAGTTATAAAATTATTTTTATTTCTTTTAGACCTCCTCAGTCCCCAACTTTATCGATGTATTTTATAACAATTGAATTCCAATTTACTTTTATCACTGGGAGAATCATTTTATTCCCTTTCTTTCAACTATCTTTTCCAATTACAATTTAAAATTAAATGGAGAATCATTTTATTCCCTTTCTTTCAACTATCTTTTCCAATTACAATTTAAAATTAAATACTATCTTTTATTCATTTATTTATTAATTAATCAAATACAATAATAAATCAACAGTATACTCTCCCTTTCATTTTATTTCTTTTCCTAACATTGTTAAACCAAATTATTCATTGGGTCTCAAACGTATATTTATTTATTGTATTTTTTTTTTTATTAAAAGTATTTTTTCCTTATACAATTATACATTTCATTTGGAAAATTTGGGAGGGAAACTCGAAAATTTTAAAATCAGAAATCTACCGAATAACAAGAGTAGACCTAAGTCCACCTAACAACTTTCCATTGAGGGAAGAGAGAGAAAATATTCATTCAATTTCAATTTTCCATCGTTTTGTTCGAAGCTGTCAGGTCCCTCTCTATCTCCTCTGCAACTTATCTTCTCTCTGCATTCCTCAATCTAGTACGAATTAACATTAGGGTTTCTTTAGAGAGAGAAAGAGGAGAGAGAGGTTCATGATCGTCCCTTTTTGTTAAAGTCGTCAGGTCTATATCCTCTCTGAAACAACTTTCTCTCTCCACATTCTTCAGTCTGAAATTCTTACACACATATATTTAGAGAGAGAATTAGGGTTCCTAATTGGGAGATATGTCTCAGAGCAGCACGAATAGCACCGGAAGTGGACCGGATTTTCATCTATCGGATGAGATTTTGTCGGTGATCCCAATGGATCCGTACGAGCAACTGGATCTGGCACGGAAGATCACGTCGATGGCCATTGCGTCTCGCGTGTCGAAGCTGGAATCGGAGGTGGTGAGGCTCAGGCAGAAGATTTACGAGAGAGATCGCGCCGTAGTGGAGCTCGAAGAGAGGGTTAATCAACTCCAACACGACAATCAAGAATCCGATAGACGACTAAAAATAACCACCGATGATAATGTACTGAGTAATCATATATATGTATATATATATATTTGGAAGATTTCCTAATATAATTTCTACAGTTGCTTTTGAAAGATTTGAATTGATGATTGAGTGGTTATTGTTTCAATTTTTTTTTTTTTTTTTGGTTAAACTAAAGATGAAACTCTTGAAGGAGCGAGATTCATTGGCCATGACGGCAAAGAAATTAGCACGCGATTTGTCCAAGGTAAGAATATTGTATGTATATGTTAATTATTGTGAAATTTCTTTGTTAATAGATAAAAGTTTTGATTTTTCTAAAATGTTGGACCCATTATCTCATCTACTGCTGCTACCATTTTTATTTGAGTTCTGCGATGTGATGGAAAATGGAAATGATGGAAATTTAATTATGTTGATACTGCATCTTAAGCTGTGTTGGTGAATAATTTCTGTAACGCATCTTCTTACCCTGATATTCCCTTAAGGTTACTGCTTAAAATGCATTTTAAGCAACAATCATGTAAATTGATTACTCCGTTCTATGGGTTCTCAAATGCCTTGAAGGTTTTTTGGCTCCTTCTTGTTTATAAATATGTTCACAGATAGGAGATTAGAATTGGGGAAGAACACAATAAAGATTGAATTTTACGTCCTTTTTTTTTTTTTTTTTTTTTTTTTTTTTTTTTTTTTTTTTTTTTTTTTTGGGCCTGAATTTTGTATCATTAATATTCTATTAGCCCCAAAGCTTTTTGCCAATCTTCTGCTAGGGGTTCCCTTTAAGTTTGAGGTGTTTTGCCTGCACTTATCTTGGTCAGAAATAGCCAAAACTGAAAAACTACTACCTAAGTGCATGAAACTTTAACTACGATACATAGACTTCATTTAACTTATACATATAATTTCATTTTGAAGTCTGATATTGGCCCTCTTTTGCCTCGCTGGCTTTAGTCTGTGTTCCAGAGCCTTGGTCAGAGCTTACAAACTTGGTGGAGTGGTGGACAGAGATATAAAGAGAATATATGTATTTTTTGGCAGTTTAATTTACATGATGTGCAATGGGATGGCTCTTGAAGCCTATTTTTTAGCGCCTTGTGTACTTAATGGATATATTTAGTAACTTTAGGACAATACTTGTTTACTGAACAATGTGTGTGAACTGTAAATTTTCTGCCTTTTGAAATAAGAAACAAATTTGTCATAAAACGATAAGAATTCAAAGGAAATGGTATCCTTGAACAAGGATCAAGAAGAGGCAAAAGTTGATGAAAATCCACAAAGAACAAAAAGTTAGAATGAAGTGCCCTGTAATAGTCTCATGCAGATGATTTTCATCATTTTCCATTCATGTCAATATTAGATTCTGTATTTGAGCAATGATGAATAATAGATTTTGAACTCCTCTCTTCAAATCCAAGCGTACATTGTCACTCGTCCAATGCCAATTAACCTGATCCCTTGATTCTCATTTGTCTGTCCATGATGCGATCTTTGAGGAGTTCCCTTTAATAATGATTTTCTTTCAACAGCGGAGGAAGCAACCACCTCTGTTTAAATAGCAGCATCACTCCCATAAAGTTAGGGAGTGGCATAATTGATGTCTTATCTATGATTCCTCAATAGTTCCTTGATGTCCAAGGAGAAATAATCAATAATTTAACTTATTTATTCGAAGGGGGAGGATCAAAGCTTGAATTCATGAATAACTGACACAGTGTATAAGGGCACCCAATAATGAGAGAAACTTAGATAACATTAAACTCATTAGTAATTGAAACTCTGAAGGAGAAGCTGACCCAGTTCACACTCATGTAGTGTCGTGTTAATGCCTCTTTCTTTTCCTTGCAATGCTCACTTCACCCCGATCTGTACTTGTGTTTTGAAAAGCCCACCCTTACCTTCAAACTTAATTCACCAAACACTGGCCAGGTAGTACAACACCACAACTTTGCCTCTAAATAAACCAATTTTCCTGCTCAGAAGAAAAGTAACTTTTTTTTCCTGCCTTTTGTAGGCATATAAAACAAACACCACTTTCCATTATCTTTAATTTAAATTTGTTATTTTTCCTGTTGTAGTTTGTTTGTTCAACTCTATTTAACTCCTTTGAGATAATTCTCTGTTTTATTGGCTTCTTAAAAATATATTTGTTAAATGAAAAGCTATTCGTCAATGGTTGAGAAAATCAAGACTTCTAATTATTGAAAAAAGAAAATCAATACTTCTATTTTGGTAAAAACAGGGCTTCTGAAAAATTAATCTTCAATCAATGAAAATCTATTTGTTCAACCCTTGCTTTCTTTTGCAAAGGATTTGTTTTACATCCATGTCTATTAATTTGGATGAAATTCTATGATAAACCTTAGGCTTCTAATACATTCAGAAATGTGTTAATTACTGACTATTTTCCCAGGAATTTAAGTTATTCTCAAGATTGCTGAATAAATAAAGGTTCTGATATTGATCCCAGAATCAAGGGTTGATGCTGGTGAAAACAAGTGTTAATGTTTGCAAATCTTGAACCTCTGTTAGGGAAGGAAACTTTCTTTAAAACACTTCTGACTTTGAGTTGGATAAAGTTAAGGGAGATAAATAACTAGATCATTACAGTTACCTATGTTAAGTAATTATACGGTAATCAACCTCCAAAGGGGGTTAAAATGATATGAAATGTTTCTGTCTGTCAATTGTCGTGATGACTCCACGAAAGGATAGCTTTGATGCCATAATATGAAGGATGTTTACTCTGCTTTATTGAAGACTCACTATTATGCTAGAAGTTATGTCATCCTAATAAATAGTTCTACCATTTGGAGAGCTTGTATTCTCAAATTTGTATACCTTTACTGATTCTTATCTGTAACCATATTGAACATTGTTTTTTCCCTTTCGAGCATGTACTTGCATTGATGAGCTTCTCAAGATATTTGTACTTTGGGGTTGTTGAATTTGTCAGTAGATTTCAACCATCTTACCAGCCTATCTCTGATTTATCACCTGCATGCATTTCTTTTTTACTTTCCTTATTTTCCCGTCCTTACCTATTTGAACTATTTTTTTGGTAAGCATTTGTTGTGTGTGTTTTCTGCCAAATTCCTTCAGTGCAATGTCAAAACCTTAAAATTTCCGATTTTTTATAATATCTATCTGGTGCAAAACTTACTTGATGTCTTGACAGTTGGAGACATTCAAGAGACAATTGATGCAGTCACTGAGTGATGATAATTCATCGGTGAGATCTGTATACCAATTTTAGTTGTTCAAAACTGTTATGATTCAAGTCCATCTATGTTAAGAACTGTGTTTTAATAAATGGATTCACTGTCATGTTTTATGTTCAACAGCAAGCTGAAACTGTTGACATAGGGACCTATGAACAGTCAGTTCCCAAATCCTATGCTATGAAAGGTACTTTTAAGCTGAATTGATAATCTTTATTATTGTTTCCATCCTAAATTGATAATGTTAAGTAATTATTCTCTCTTTATTTTACTATATATCTTTTTTATCTTCTGGTTCCCACCTGGTGGCCAATGGCACAATTACTTTCATTTTGCTTACCTTACAGATCGACAGATGAATGACCAAATGGTGCAACATTCTGTGACTGGCTCTACAGAAAGTGGAAACACAATTGATGAGGGTATTAGATTTTGGCACTTGGGTTTGTTTGACATTGTTTTTGACTGCATGTGTTATTAATGACCTGATTTAAGCTGATTTTTTGATCTCCAGGTTCAAAGCAATATGGGCAAAGATTTTCTATCACACCATATATAACACCACGACTTACTCCGACCGGAACTCCAAAAATCATATCGACGAGTGTGTCTCCAAGAAGGTATTCTGCTGTTGGATCTCCACAGAGAACCTCTGGTACCACATCTCCTGTGAAAACTCAATATGAAGGACGGGGTGCACTTTCTTCATGGTACCCATCAAGCCAGCAGTCATCTGCTGCAAATTCTCCTCCTCGTGGACTCCCAGTTCCAGGTTTGGATGAGTTATTGCTATTTCATTTTAATTTCTGGAGCTGTGCAGATATAAATACAACTGCTGGTCCTACACTGCTAATAATTATTAGACAACGCTGTTACTTCTAATCTTTATTTTATCAATTATAAATATCTATCAGTACTCAGCCCTACTGAAATGCTTTTAGCACAACTTTTACATCAGACTATTTCCTGTCTCCTAATTTATCTTTCCTCTTCTGTGCTTCAACTTGTTTTAGGACGAACTCCTCGAATTGATGGAAAGGAGTTCTTCCGTCAAGCTAGGTGAGTTCCGTGTTTCCAAGTCTCAGATTCACAGTGATTGGCTTTTATCAGTTTGATGTGCCCCTTTACAAGCTGTTTTTGGATTTTTGACTCCAGGAGTCGTCTATCATATGAACAATTCAGTGCATTTCTTGCTAACATAAAGGAGCTAAATGCTCAAAGGCAAACTCGGGAGGTAATATATGTTGGCAATTCCCTTAATTATGTGTTAGATTGATGCAGTTCTGAATTCTTGTGGTCCGGTGGTTGATTAAACGAACAAATTATTTGCATCTCTTTCAGGAAACTCTGAGGAAAGCAGAAGAGATATTTGGAGTGGATAATAAAGATCTTTACCTATCTTTTCAAGGATTGATTAACCGCAATCGTATTCAATGATGATTGGTACGTTTATCCCCAATCACCATCTCTAGGTCTCTGAATTTTTGGACTTGTTCCTTCAACTGGACTTTTTCTATTTTTTATTGACTCTAGTCTCTAGGAAAACAATGCTCACTTAAGGTATACATAGATCTGAGTCCGACTCATCCATTGCAGATTATGTATACTTAAGCAAGTACAGCATAGCTTCTGTAGGCTTACTTGTGTTCCATTCCTGGCGGGCATTGGGTAAATAACTGTCTTTTTCGCATTACCTGCTGTGCCTCTTACATTTCAAAATGTACCAATTGACACTAGCAAGATTTTCATTGAATCAACTACCATAAAATCACAGTTTTCTTCTGTATGTGTGGGGTTCATCATTTTCCCCTTCAATTTTACCAATGTTGATAAGATTATGATCTGATGTAACTTGATCAGGTTTTGTTTTATTTTTGTTTATCAGCCTCGAATGTCATTGCCCATGTTTGATAAACCCGAGCATCATAATGTGAATACCTTTGCTAAGTAATCCCAATGTATAGCTCTTTTATCACAATTTTTGAACCCTAATTGCTGTGTTTGTGACGAAACTGCACTCAGATTTGAAGCAAAAATATATCAACTGAAAATTGAAATCCAGTTCTTCCGTGTTGAAAGAATTTGTGATGGGCAAGTACTTAAAACTGAAAGGAAATGTTTATTGGGGGTTTTATAGTGCTAGCCAGGTTTTTCTGTATTGAATATTATACTAGCAATGAAAATATACTTTCAGCGCACTGTAAAATCAATTTTTGATTATATAAGAAACACCTTCAATTTTACTTGCTATTAAAATATTATTCGATAATAATTAGCCTTTGGGTCGTGGCTTTTGGTAATCTACTTTTCCTCTTATTGTTTTAAGTGCAATATGAAGCTTCGAGGAAATACTTGCACAAATATACGTAACATTTAGCATGAATGAAATGGTTGTTTTGAGAATGAATTCATTGTCCAAGTTTTCCATCTTGCATCAAGCAATGACTTCATTTTACTCATACAAATATATGCATGTATATATATACACACACACACACATAAGTTAACTTGCATGGAAATATATGCATGTATATACATTATTTAAGTTGCACGGAGTGACTTGAATTCAGATTGGATCGAATAAGTCTATCAGATTTGTTATTAATAAGATAACATGATTCATTAATAGTGTAATTCTTTGTTAAAAGAATATAATGTCAAGTTATTGAAAAACAATGATTAGAAAAAGAGAAAAAAATTAAGGAGAGCGTGGAGAAGAAAAATAAAACATGGACACAGAAAAAAAAAAAAGAAAAAAAAAAAAGATTTTTGTTGAAAAAAAAGCACCAAAGAGAGGAAGACCAACTATATCTAGAAGTATAGTTGTGCGTTTTGAAAAAAATAATAATTCGGGTGTGGTTAGGGTTAGAGGTGTTATTTACTTTTAAATAGGAATGTAAGTGTAAAAAAATGGAGTGTCAATATCATCTTTTAGTAATGTGGGTGCGTTTATATATTCACCCACCCGTTTATCTTTTTGGGGATTCGAACCCTCACCTTTCACTTTGAAAAATTATAAAGATATCACTAGCTACAGCCTTAGCCTTTAGTGGACAATACAAAAAATGATTGATTAACATGGAAGCTTAGAAGATATTAGATAAAAGTTTGAAAAACTTGAAAAATATGTCAATTTTATATTCTTATAAATGTTTTATAATTTTTTTTTATATTATCCAAAGTAATAAAAGTGCCAAAAAATAATAAATAAAAACATAAACCCTGAACTATTTCAGAGTTGTAAGATGCCACATGAACTATTTTTTTGGAGTTAACTCAGTCCATCAACTATAAAAATATTGCATGTTACCCCCTTCTAGTCACTTGGTGCACACTTTCCGATGCACAGAATTGCAACAGATGTACATTTTTCTGCTTTGATTAGAAATGAATCATATCACTGTATATTTGCGAAGCTGAGAAAACAATGTGATCTTATTTTTTTTTATCAAAATGGGTCAGTGGCTTAGCCATATCAGCCTTATACTTTTTAAAGGAAGCCAGGATTCAAGTATTAAAAGAGACAAGTATGTGTAAGTATCAACTTGGAAAAAAAAAAAAAAATTTGTGATCTTATTTTGACAAAAGCAATGCCAAGCCGACCTGGTAGCATGAAGGAAAGCTTGAGATGTAGAGGAAAGGGTAGACAAATCTATGAACATATATATGTATGGTTCTCAACTTATAGACAAATTAAGGAAAGTGTACTATGGAACAAGAATACAAATAAATGATAAGAAAGAAAAAGTTAGATTTATATAAATCTATAGTGATCTTATGCCCAAAAAAAAAAAAAAATATCAGCTTAGATTCACTTCCAGGCAACATGCACCAACACGACCTTGTTGGAACATTGAAACCACTTGCTGAGGAGATAAAAAGAGAGTAAAAAGAACGCAATTCTGTTAGCTAATATAAGATTATACTCGATCCTAAATGATTTATTTGTCCTTTCTTTATTTTTTATTTTTTTTTATAGAAAATCTCCCCCATGAAATGGAATTATAATTAATTATTTACAAGTTGTTTTTTTTGTTTTTTTTTTTTTTTTTTTTTTTTTTTTTTTAAGAAAGTCCCACAAATGCTTCGAAATTTGAATTCTATGTGACACTTATTTTAAGGTAGATCTCGAAAGATAAGAAAAATCTTTTTCTAAAATATACATACTGCTTTTCACAGAATTCTGTATGTGTTTGTGACGTCGAGTATGAAATTTTGTTTACTCATTTTAAATTGAGTATTTATTTTCCTCATTTTCAAATAATCGTTTTTTTCACGTCCATACCATTGAGTCCTTGAGATTTCCAAAGTAGACATTTTACTTTTAGAAGGTGAAAAAGTAGTATTGAACCTTAGCTCTTGGTATCAAATTTTAGGCAAGTGGGTGACTAGGGTAAGGGCATGCTGGATGGGATAGTTGATGGATAGGAAGAGGAAACCAGAGAGGCACCTGATACCAAGAGCTAAGGTTGAAAGGCTTCCAAATCGCTTTTACCTTAATTTTGTGCTTTTTGAGGCAAATTTAGTCTGAATAATCCCTTAAAGTGCTCTTAATATCCTTCTAACCAATTGATTAGTATGTTGTTTGAGTACTCTATTTACAGATGATTTTTGGAATGTTTTTAATTAGCTGTGGCTAAACAGTATCATGTCCTATTCAATTAGTGAAGTACCTTACAAAATGTTGTGATGTTGAAATTCATATCACAACAGTTTTATAACGTACATCTCAGAGAATAGGTGACATGATTACTGTTTAGCAGGAAATGATTTTGATCCGACATTCCATTGTGATCATAGTTCCATTTATAAGTAGTGCTTTTTCTTTTTCTTTTTCACACACAAAGAGAGGATGTGGATGCAATCGTATTGGATGTGAAAAATAAGATTCATCTTGATCACAAAGTGTAGTTGCACAAAATAACATGTTGTGAGGGTTGGTTTGTTGATCCAAGTATACAGAGCAATATAGTGGTGCACCAGTAAAAGAGATGGGTAGAAATGGAATTACAACATTTGAGGGTTATATGTTGTACTTTGATTGTTGATGCAAATCTTGGAAGTGTTGATCCAATAAGCCAGGGTAATATGGTGGTGCAGCAGTAAAAGGGATGGGTAGAAAGGGAATTACAACAACATTTGAGGTATATATGTTGTACTTGATTTGTTGATGCAAATCTTGGTAGCCTCCATGTGTTAGATTCTTGGTCTAAGTAGGTCATCTTCAGTAGGGGGGTACTTATGGTGTACAGCTTTTGAAAACAGTATCAGAATAGTAATCACATGAGGGCCTCTGTGCCCTTTATTAGGGCTTTTCAGCCTTTTTCCTTCCAAGGGAGGTGCTCCAAAAAGACTACCATGTATAATATTGCATTCGAGTAATATTACCTTTTCTTTTTTCTTTTTTTTTTTTTTTCTTTTTTTTTTTTGTTTTTTGTTTTTTGGATATCCATACTATTTTGGGCAATCCTATGGACGGGTGTGCCGTGAGCGGGTTACAGGGGTACTGACATGTTATCACATTAACGAATTACAGTCGCTCCAATTGGTATGAAGTTTTTTGGAGTAAAGTTTAATAACTAAATTGTAAAGGCTTGGACCAAAGTTAATAATATTATGTCATATGGTAGAGTGAATTGTTACGGAATTGATTGTGACAACCTTATGGATGGGTGTGCCATGGGCGGCACCCTCACTTCTTAACTTGAAAGACCGTTTCCATTTATTGTTGTTTCAAAATCAAAATTATAAAATTCTCTTAACTTAAGAGATCGTTTCAAGATATAATTTGCTATTGCTGTTCAAAAATCAAAATTATAAAATTCTCTAAACTTAAGAGTTGGTTTCAAGATATAATTTGTTATTGTTGTTTAAAAATCAAAATTATAAAATTCGGTATAAAAAACGAAAATGAAAAAAATATGAATACGGAGAGAGATGTTTATATAAAATAGGAGTAACATTTATAACAACCACCTCCAAACTCCAAGGCTATATTAGGTTTTGTACGTTTGTAAAAAATAAAATTGGGAATTTGCAATTTTATGAAATTTTATTTATTATGTAGAAGCTGTGGTACATAATTCACATTCCAACATGTCTGACACACGAGCACTAGTTTGAAGCACAACTACTAAAATACGGTACAGGAAAAATACAGATATGAAAATTTATGAGTATAATTTGATATATATATTTTAAAATATATTTAAAAAATTCATCAAAAAAAAAAAAATGAAAACGTAAAAATACAAATACGGATGTGTACGTGTACACTAAAAATTCAGAACAAAAAATTCGGCTATACACATTTTATAATTTTATATATTTGTAAGGACAATGAATAATAGGTAACAAATAATAAAATAAATATATTACAATTAACACTATCACAATAATCATAATAGAAATAAACTATCTAAAAAAATTAATGAAAAAAATTCTAATTCAATTAATCAACTATGTTGCCTAAATTAAAAATAAAATGCGGCTGCTTGAATCTCTTATGGTACTTTTGAATAAATTTCAATATTTCTACCTTTTACGCCAGATAAATGTGATTTGACTATTGAAATACCTCCATAATAGTTAGAGTTTTATTCAACATGATCCCAAAATGCATTCTTGATAGCCTATATATTTATAATAAATGCATAAGTATATAGTGTGATAGTTGTGAAAATATCTTTATATTCTAGTAAAACATCTAGTGAATATAGTGATTTACAAACTTACAAAATAATAATAATAATAATAAAGATACTAACAAAATTTAAAAGATCTCAAACAAAACAAAAAATTTATAAATATCTACAAATATCAATAAAAATCTATGATTCTTCAAAATTATAGTGTTCCATGAAGTATATATATGTGTTTCATTAATTTGATTAAAGATCAAGCATTTGATCGCCAATAATAAGAGATTAAAAAAAAAAAAAAAAAATAGATTAATAGTAGAACAACTGAGTGGACATAGCCTTTGCCGAGATTGCACAATAAATAATATTATTTTGATGGTGTGAAAGAGAATGGCTATACCAAGCAAAAAATGTGTTTGAGAAAAATAAACGTGAATAATTAGATTACCCTAAAGTATAAACACGAATAAAACGGAGCAACCAAAATGAAAAAACGAATAAACGCATTACATACTGAATGATGAAAATAACGCGTATTTTATCGTATTTTTCAACTCTGATCGGTAAACGAGAATATTTTCCTAAAATTCTTATGTACACGTTTAATTCGCGTTTCGAATTTACTAACTAGGTTTAAAGTAACAAAAACTTCTAATCCAATTTAATTCATAACTAATATGTTTGAAGTCTAAAATTATTAGCAAATATATAATCGATGATTATAGTAAGACTCTTTCAACTCGCTAAAATTCGTGTAACATTGATTTAATATTGTCTTTAAGTAAGACTACAAAAGTGATACAGTACTGCGACAACTTGCATAAAGGAGCACTACACATGCTAGCTATAAATTTCAGGATTAGAGGCATAGTGACACAAACAAAAACTGAATCAAAAACACTACAAAAGCGCAAAATTTTCCTTTCTTCCATGACTTCCATTCCTCAATACTACTCTGATTACATCTTCCCTAGTGAATTGTGCGAGTTTCCGATCCCAACGGCAGGTGGCGCCAACGTGGGTGCTGCAATTTGGAGTGAAGAAAGCTTAGTACCCTTCATTCAAAATGGAGCACTTGATCATATGGTGCCACCGGAATCTGACATCATGTCTTCAATGCCACTGATTTCATTGCCGGAGCGATTTGGTGTTTCGGACATGGCTGTGCCCACATTGCCAGAATTCAGTAGGGGCTCATTCGACATTGTTGGAAGTCGAAGTTTTGAAGGCACATACCAATCTGATCTATGTGAGTTCGGGGAGGAATGCAATGGAACAGTTTATTCAAAGTCTAGTGATAATTATTGGGTACCCTTTTGGACCTCCTCCTATTTAATTGATTAAAGATGCACTATATATTATATGCTCTATATGCATTATTGTATAGTGTGTCTATTGCATGAAAAATCATATACTAAACTACTCCCTATATTTGTGTATAGATGTATATTAATTCTTTCTATCATTGCATTTTTCCAGGGAATTCAAGGTAAGCCAACACCAGCAATTGAAGAACCTACTGTGCAAATTGGGAGGTATTCAGTAGAAGAAAGAAAGGACAGAATTCTCAAATATCTGAAGAAGAGAAACCGAAGGAACTTCAACAAAAGGATCAAGGTTCTCTCTCTCTCTCACACTTCAAAAAGTTTCCGTGCAAAATAATATCTAAGATTGAAGAAGAACCGAATATTTGACATTATTTTGCACGGAAACTCATACTCATAACCTCTTGCTTGTCAGTTCGAGCTTTTATCATCTTCAACATTGATTATAGATGGAATTATAGCCAGAAAAATGCATTATATCACTAGTTTGGTGATCTATATGCAGTATGCCTGTCGCAAGACCCTAGCCGACAAGAGGGTTCGAATTCGTGGAAGATTTGCCAGGAACAATGGATTGGCTGAAGAAGCAGGGACAACAAAGAAGAACACTAATCCTCATGTAGAGAGAGAATTCTATAATGATATCCAGGTACTTTCCTACTATGGAGCAGAGCCCAAAATTTTCATTTCCATTTATAAACATTTTAATACAACATAAAGTACTGGACTTGTTTAACTATATGTGACCAATTCTGTGTACTTTTGTTGTATTTTTTCAGATCAAACATGATGGGGAGGACTGGTTCCAAGAAGCTATAGCCAGTCTAATATATTAACCATATATTTGCTGGGTGATATGATTGGTGCTATTGTAGTATGAACAATTAAAATTTCCTTTATCAATGGTTATTTTGGTTCTAAGCTTAGTTGCACATAAAATAAATATATAAAAAAAGAAAATAAGAAAAAACACAGGACTCTTTTATTATATTGTACTGCATGTTACAGTTTTATTACTTAGATAAGCAATACTGGGATGTGCAGGTATTTTTCTAATGACACCAATGTGTAAATATATGGATGGTGAGCTAATTGCTTTATCTTTCAAGATCAAAGGCATCTTAAGTTTAACTTGGTATTAAAGTTCAATTAAATTGAACAATTTCCAAAATTGTAAAGCTTGTTTGGACATTTTGGGAAAATTTTGTGGCTCTATAGTGTTTTCATGAAATCTAAAGGTGCCAAATCGATAAAAATAAAGCTAAACCATAAATTAAAGAAAATTGAAGCCATAGATCAGTGTTAGGATTATACTTGAACTACCACCAATTCAAGACTCTGATTTTTGAAGATGTAAACTGTAAACCAAATTTAGATAAATGTAACAAGAGTGGAGAAAGGGTTAATTGCAAAAAACCCTCTGAACTATCGAAAATTTGTAAATAACTCTCTATACTAATTTTGTAGCAAATAACCACCCAGAACTACTAAAAGTTTTGCAAAACACCCTCTTCCGTCAAGTTATTGTTAAAAATAAAAGCATCAAAAGTTTTGAAAATCCAACTTTGGCATTTGGATTAATTGCAGAAAACCCCCTTGAGCTATAATATTTTTGCATATTACCCATGTTTCTTGGGTAACGTTCACATTTCTAATATATTTCAAGTAAATTTTGTACATTTAAGTAGTTCTTGAGACAAATTTATGGACAACCTAACAACGGTAAAATTGTTGGCCTTATTTGCAAACTTTTAATAGTTTAGGGAGTTAATGAACATTCTAGGTGTAACAATCAAATTTTTATAGTACATGAATTTTTGGCAATTAACTAACAAAAAAAAAAAAACCCTTAAAATCTAATTTTTGGAAATTAAAATGGAAAAAATACATGTGGGGTAAAGATATCTTTGCTTTATGAGATTGCATTCTCAACATATTGTTTGATATGGTGTTTTCTGCTAGGCAAACCAAAGACAGCCAATGAACCAAAAGACACATCAAAGAATATGTACTTGGTTTGATTTTGATGGAGGAAAAATGCCTATTTCCTTCATATTTTGGGACACCAACCAATGCCTACTATTTGTAGGTCAAGTCCACAGATGTAACAGGTTGGAGATCAAAAGGGAATATGCAGAATGGAAATCCCAAGTCCAAAGTCTGAACTAGTTTCACATCTTAGCTTTGAAAAATTATTGCATGGTCTTAGATTACCTCGTTCGGCAATCACTACATTTATTTGCGTGTCAAGTTACGATGGGCCGAAATCATACAAAAATTTCTCCTTAACTTTATCCTAATTGCAAGTTTGCAACTGCAATTAGTTCAGTGTAAGTATCATTGCAGTATAAAATTGACCATGTGAATGAACTAGTAGCCTCAGATCAAAATCAATCATTTGACTTAATTGGCATCTTTTGAATTTCTGATGAATTAGGATAGACACACATTGAGTCAATTCTTCAACTCAGGGATAAAATGATTGATTTAACACTTAACAGCAACCACAAGCCCATTTCTGGTCATTCATTGCCACATCTTTTAACTGCAAAAACATTACCACATCAATTAGTCCGATTTTCGTGAATAAATATACAAAAATAAGCAAACAAATCATTTTTTCATATAATTGTTTTAGACTTTGCAAGATGCTGTGAGAACAATTGAGTTCCTCTCCAAGCAAAGTCCATGGAGTACTTGAAAACCTCAGAGAGATACATGCTTATTCACAGAATTGGAACCAAACATGTCTCTAGCTGCTTGATCTTCTCAAGGATTGACAAGGACAGGTTAGTTCTTTGCAACTGAGGATGCATAGTGCTCAACTTTGACAAACTTGAGTGGGTTAGTGCTATATCTATCTTTCAACAAATTAATGTCACTAGCTTAGCTATTGCCATCTTCAGAATATTCTTTCTTCTCATCAAACACAATTTTACCAGGAAAAAGAGATTAAAGACATGCATATGCATTTCACGCGCTACGAATGCAACGGAGAAAATATTGAATGTGCAAGACACACGACGTCATAGGTACGTGGATTTAATGAAAAAACATTATATCAACTTCTTGTCAGCATTTTTTTACACATAGGCGGGATTAATTTCATAGATTAACAAGGGCGAATTTCCGTTTAACCTACGTCCAGTTGAAAAATTGAGTTGTCCTTTTTGTAAAAAAGCTTATTAGAAACTGATATGGTGTGTTTTTATCTGGCGTATCAATGACCCGGTATGCGTAGGACACTCAATATCTACTTGAACAATAGGGGCTAAAATGGTGTCAAAGCAACGACTAAAGCAATGCCATTGTGTCAAACCTGTGGTTTGTGGGTGATTGCACAAATCAGATTGAAAGGGTTCTCATTTTTCTGAATGAAAATAAATGCCAAAGTAATGGGAAAGAGTTTCTGCTTAGCTCCTCTATTTCTAAATTTGACATTTATGTCTTCAAAAAAGTTCAGATAAGGGAAAAGGGCAATTGGGTGTCACAAGCAAGCATTCTTCCAATCGTAAGAAAGCACTAATCTGAAGTGACTGCTACAATCCTCACATTCATGAAGGCGTCACCATCACATTGAGGCTTATAATCCAATCTTACAGGGCTGTGTAGTCCAGTACTGATTTTTCATGAACATTTCTATCTTTTTTTTTTTTTTTTGGGTAAATTTTGCTTCATTAATAAGTATTCTCTAAATGGTATAACTACTCTAATAAATGAATATTGAGAGGTAATAATTGAATGAGTAATGATAGAGAGTCCAACAGTCGGATGCGAGGTTGGGTTGCGAACGCTTACGACCCGATGATTCGTTGGATGAGTTTTTGATTCGTTTTTGCTCATATATGGGACGTGAATTCTAATTAGTACTCTCTTGTAACCCCATATATAAGGGTGTTTAGAGTTTGAAGTATGATGATCATCAAATAATAAGGAAAATGATGCTGAGAGAGTGAGAGGTTGAAATTTGTAATCTCCAATTTCATACAAAATGAAAGTAATGATATCATGATGATATCGTCATCTCTGACTCAGGTACTCACATAAAACAATTAGATACAACCGAATTTCGAACTACTTATCACAAGGGGCGGAGGGAAAGGGGCTGGCGGGAGCCATGGCCCCCCCTAATTTTTTGGAATTTTTTTTAGTATAAGTAAAAATAAAATAGTATAGCATATATGGTATAAAATCTATACTTGGCCCCCTTAAGATTTTTCTTTCTTTAATTAGCACTTAACAATAATTTAAGAGAAAGTGATTTAATTAACTATTATAGAAATTTAATGTGGCTATCTTAAAATTTCACCGTTCTTTACATAATGTGACTATCTTAAAATCCTTCTAACTCGAGCACGATTTTTTTCATAACCTTATTATCCTAAAATTCCATTTTATACATGATTCTTTCCGTCACTTGTTTTTTTTTTCTTTTTATCTATTTTTATTGGAATGCTTTTATAAGAATTTTATAAGAAATTAATTGTTACAAAATCTAGAACAAAAATTTCATTTAAAGTTTTGAATATCAACAAAAATGGATGATTTAAGAATCTAAATTCTTATTTTATTACTTTGTTTGTGTTTTTTTTTTTTTTAAAAAAGTAATTTCTGTTTTTTTTTTCTTTTCAGTAAATAAAGAGAGTTATTTAATTGAATTTTTTTTTTTTAATTTTTTTTATAATTTTGGCATAAATCTTATTTGTGTTTGTTTAGAAAGTTTGATAAAAAATTTCTTTAAATAACTAATTTTTTTTTATTTAAATAAATTGGGAAAAGTTTTAGATAGATATGTTTTCAATGAATATAATAAATAGTAAAATATTTTTGCCTACGTAATATTATTTTTTTTCAAAAGTTCTAGCTAAGTAATGTTGTTTATAATTTTGGCACCTCCAACCTCAAGATCCTGGCTCCGCCCCTGCTTATCACTATTCAAATACAAATACAATATTATTTCATGATTTCAATCATTTAACTGTTGCTTGAAGGGGTCCAGAATCATGTCTAAAATTTGATAAAAAATCACACAGTTATAATCCTGAAAGGTTTGTGGGCGATGACAGGTCGATATTGCAACCACTTGTGACTCAGAGAGAAATAACAATTGCCACAATTTTGAGCTTTGGACCCCATGAAAATGCATAAGAATCAACATATTGGTTGGACCATTTTAGCTCAAAACTTGAAGCTTGGGAAAATGAGGACAACAATCTTGTGTCATGGTTGGAACCAATTTGATAGTGGCATTGGATTCTTTGGCTTCCTAGTCGAATGAATTCCATGACAAGACAACATCATATCTATGCCACAATTTATAAAGGCATTGATCTAGAAATCAAATCACACCATTTCTGTTGACAAAACCCGAACCTATTTTTTTTTTTTCTTTTCCGAAAAACAGCTTGGGTACTTTATCTTTTCCACCATTATAATGATGTGTGTATCTTCGCCACTTCAACCAAGTGAGCAGCACAGCCACACAGGTTTGGGTCCACTTTATGTTAATAATTCAATGAGAATTCGCCGTTCCGACCTGTATTTTCTGTTGTACACTTTCTAGTGTTGTAGTTCTGTAGATACGCGTACAACACATTAAATTAAAGTGCAATATCATTATTTCAAGTTCAACTTTTCTTTGTACACTTTCTGTGTTGTAACAAGTAACATTGTATTGCAAGTTTGTTGCGCTGTAATAATGGACTGGAAGGTATTTGGCTGCATCGAGCCTAACCATATATACCAAATTTTCAGATAATTAATCCATGTTTTAATAAGAATTGGTAAAAATAATAAATAATATCAAAAGCTAAGTAACCAACACCACATGAATTTCAGGCATCCAGAGAATTTCAAAGCGAATGATTATGTTGATAACTCTTGCATTGACTCAACAACCACCAAACGTGGAGTCATCTTCCCGAATGGTACGGAACAAAACTTCAACAAGTCTACTATTACAATTTCCTCCATTCACATGACTCTTCAAAATTCCAAATATACCCTCAACCTCAACATTATATGAGTCAATCCATGGGGTCTAGTGGGTGCATTGACAAAATCGAAACCATAATACCAAAGGAACTTAAAAAGGAAAAAAAGCAAAAAAAAACGTAGAAGAGGATATTTTGCCTCCAAATTACATGCTTAGACTTATTGTGGTGGTGTTGTTGTTGGGTTTGGTGCAGGGGATGGTCCTTAGTTAACCTGAATGAGAACTAAGGTCTCCTATGTTGGGCTGTGTTTTCCGTTTTTGATGGAGTTGGGCCTCGCTTTATAGTATATGTTTTAATTGGGCTTCTATGTCCTAGTTCTTTTGTATTTCGGAGTCTTTGTGACATTCTTGGGCCTAGCCTCTACACCTTTGGGCTCTTCCCGGTGAGATGCCCCTGGTAATTGTATAGTAGTTCTTCTTCAATTTTCCCCTTTCTAGAAATTCATTATTCCCGAATAAGAAGTGAACTAGGGCATAGAGGCCCATAGGAATAAAACTTATGACATAACATAGCAATTCAAACTTCCATATTTTCAACCAATTTATATAGTGAATACTACTGTTCTCGTGAAGAGTGATTGGCATGGTCTGAAACTTTTGGGGGAAGAAAAAGAAAGAAAAATATACTATGGTCCGAAAAAAATAGCACAATTCGTCAACATATTAGTTGGATGATTTGAGATCGGACATACATTATATTAAATACCATATTATGTGATAGAATGAGTTGTTACAAATGATATTAGAGCCTCAACTAGTTGAAAATGTGGCCAATGAGGACGTTGGGCCTATAAGGGAAGATGATTGTGACGACGTTATGGACAGATGCGAGACACTTACAGACTGCTGATAGTCTATGAGAACCCAATCCCTGCTTAGAATTTGTTCACTACAATTGGTACAAGCCCTTTTACATTAAAACACAAGAATTCATAATTTATATCCAAAATTGTACACTATTATTGTAGGTCACCATTACATAAATATTTCTCTGCATCAATATGTCATTTCATGAAATATCACAATTCTCATGTTGTATATTGATAAGATATTTAGGCTTAGTTTGTTTCGAGTAAAATATTCTTCTTGAAAAATATATATATTTTTTTCAGGTAAAATATTTTTTATTTTTAGTTTTTCGGTATTTGATAAAGGTTTACGTCGAGGTTAAAGTCGAGTCTATCGTGCGGAGTATGTAAAATAATTTGCTAAAAATTGATAGATAAATTATTTTTATTAAATTTTAGGATAAAGTACAGCCACACCTCCTGAGGTTTGACAAAATGATACTCAGATGAAACTTACCTATTTTTTGGACAAAGATACCCCTTGAAGGTTCAAAAATGGACAACGACACCCTTTTATATGGGAAATTAACCAAATTACCCTTTGACCGTTTATGAGACTTTTTTAACTTTACAATTTAACAAATTGGATCAATTTACCCTCATGAACAATTTATACATAAAAAAAAATTAAAAAAAAAACAAACTAAACTTTATATTGTTCACTTTTTTTTTTTTTTTTACTTTATAAATGTTCCAACTTCTTAAAATTGTAGACGTCTAAAATGATTTTTTGATCCAATACATACATTTCAAATAAATTATATTTTGTTATTACTTCTTTTCTTTTTCTTTTTTTATTTTTAAATTAAGATGCTTAATTCTTTCATGTAAAAAAATTAAACCAATCTCTTTTCCTTAAAAATAAAAAATTTGGTACCAGTATAAATTTATGCATCTTAAATTATATATCAAATATTATGAATTTCCCAACATAAAAGAAAATACTACATCTCTTCTTATCTCAAATGTATTCTAATGATTAAAATTATAAATTTTTCCTCATGCTTATGATTTTGATGCTTTGATCCACATCCAAAAAGTTACAAAGAATTAACATATCAATTTTTTTCTATCCCCAGCAAAAAAGGGGGAAAAAAAAAAAAATCAAAACTATAACTTTTTTTTTACTTGACTAAAATAAAACATGGTTCGAGTGTTTGACACAGTGAGTGCGTGCAAATAGATTTTGTGTTTTGTTTTTTGTTTTTCTTTAAAAATAATAATAAAAATAATAATAATTCCAACCAGAGATATCATTAAATCACATCATTACTCAAAATAATTCGACTGACCCTATTATTTGAGCAACCCGTAAGTGAATGCATATAAATTGAGTTATGTAAATTGTACGAGTCAACCCATTCTATTTTGCCTTAAAAAAATAATAATAAAAATAGAAATAGAAATAGAAATAAATAAATAAATTTCTATTTTGCATGGAGCTAATTTTTTTTTTTAAAAAAACAATATATATATATATATATATCTGCAAATTAAACTTTCTCTTTGAAAAGAAAAAAAAAAAAAGTAAAAGTGAACAATATAAAGTTTTATTTATTTATTTATTTTTTTTATGCATAAATTGTTCATGAGGGTAGATTAGTCCAATTTATTAAATTGTAAAGTTAAAAAAGTTTCCTAAATGGTCAAAGGGTAATTTGGTCAATTTCTCATGTAAAAGGGTGTCTTTATCCATTTTTGAACCTTCAAGAGGTGTCTTTGTCCAAAAAAACAGGTAAGTTTTCTCTGAGTGTCCTTTTGTCAAATCTCAGGGGGTGTGGCTGTACTTTACCCTAAATTTTAATATTTTTTTATAAATATTTTACGACAATCAAACACCAAAAAATAAAAAAAAATATTTTTTTTTAAAATATTTGAGAATGCAATAAAACCCATCAACAACCACCATGTTTTATTTATAATACAAGAGAAACATAATGAGTATTGTGATCTCTTCAAAAGAGGCAAACAGGAACTTGTGATAAAGGCAGTCAACTTCACTCATATGAACTATATATAATGGACTTGGGTCAAATTCGAGAATTTGGATATGGGTACTTCTGAAATGGATCAGGTTTTTCACCCAAGATCCAACCCAAATCAAGAATATTTTCTTTTCTATTTTCTAAATGCAAGTACTGCTGCCCTAGGTGCGAGACAATCCCATCCCCTGCTCTCTATTTTGTTGGGTGTTGGCCTTTGGGCTTCAGTGCCTTGGTTCTTTGTTTCTTGGAGCCTTTAGGACCTTGTAGGGCATAGCCCTTTATAACTTTGGGCTATATAGGCCCAAAGTAATATAATGAATATTATTATTGCTAATGTCACATAGCATGTACGTATGGCAATATAACCTTCCACACTTTCAAGTAATTATATAGTGAATATTGTTCGCAAGAAGAGTGAATAGCAGGGTCTGAAACTTTTTGGGCTTAGAAAAAGGTAGTACATTATGGACTCAAAAAATGGCACGATTTGTCTTGATTGACTTAATATTTGACATACATTATACTTAACATCCATAAAATATGAGATTGGACAGTTATAACCATCACTAGTGTTATATATATGTCCTTACATCATTATGTTATCTCACTAAATATCACAATTCTTATGGTGTATATAAACAAGGCATTTAAAGGTAAGTACATTATGTTCCCAAAATAATGGCACGGTTTGTCAACCTTATTCGCTGGATGCCTTGATATCTAACATACTTTAAATTTTAAAATCAGAAAATATGAGATTGGATAGTTATAATCATCACCGCTTATATTTAACATCAGACAATAAGAGATTGGACAGTTATAATCGTGACCGCTTTTTACATATATGTCTCTATGTCAATGTATATGTCATCTCATTAAATATCACAATTCCTATAGTTTATATAGACCAGGCATTTAAAGCAATAAAACCCATCAACAATCACCTTGTTTTCTTCATAATACAAGGGAAAACATGATTGTGATTTGTGAAAAAGAGGCAACAGGAACTTCTAATAAAGGCATTCAACTTCACTCATATCAACTATATATATATATATAATGACTCATAATAATAATGTTTAGACATTTACAATATGGTTAATGGCTCTTATCATCACCTCTGGGGTCAGGTAGAGATGTGCTATAGGAGCTTGGATCAGGTGCAGTAAAACACTTCATCTAATGGTCTACATCATAGGCACATGTACACATGTGAGTGATTAGAACCGTTTGATGAAGGATAACACGTATTGTATTGCAGAGGATCCAGACTCATGCTATAGATATGTATATAACAAAAAGAAGCAATAAAAGGTGATAAATTAAGAGGCAGACAACAATTAAACCTAGGCTCATGATCATAGTACTAGAAAAGGGGAGACAAGGCATGCTAAGCTAGCATGACCACAAGGAGTCCCCCATGTTGGCCTGATCTACCATCATGTCCATTGAAAAAAATGACTTGGTCTGAGATGGTACGAGCTTGGAAGAAGGTGACGCGTTTTCGGACGAATTGGAGGTGTGGTTGGACATGGAGGAGAATTGGTGCATTCGCATGTGAACCACCTCGGCCTGTGCCAGTGCCAATTGAGTCTGAAGAACATCGATTTGTTGTTGCAGTGATGATATTGCTCCCACACAACCATACACTGGGTCACGTACCCTGGCATTTGCCTCATAAACCATGGAGCTCACAGCATCACCACGCTGGTGCACCGGTAACTCCTGCACATTTCACAATCCAGAAAATCCTTAGACATTCTTCATTTGATCATGCTCAAGAAGCAAAATCGATATTTTGTTATGTTTTTATTTATTTATTTATTATTATTTTTTTAAGCTCACACAAACATGATAGCTCAATGGAAAAAGTCTATAGAGTAATCTATTGAGTTTCCATTTTGAGATTAACAGAAGGTGAGACCTAAACTCAAATGATATACGTGATTTGTGAGAACTAGCTTATATCCCAAATTTGCACACCAAAAAAAAAAAAAAAAAAAAAAAAAAGAAAACAAGAGAAGAAAGAAAAAAAGAAAAAAAAAAAAGAGACTGTTACTGTAAGAAAAATCAATATATGGAAATTCAGTGAAGGGTTTAAATCATCTTCTTAGATCTATTTTGCTTGAATTTTCCTTCTAAAGTGAATTTTTAGCTCCTAAATTAAGTGTTGAATCTCATTGTTCTAAAGAGTACTCCATTATGATAAGAGTCGTGAGCTCTTTATATTTGACTACTGAATTGAAACAAAATTTTTTAAGATAAGTAAAAAGTTAAATGCATCTTTCAATTCAATAATTTAAATACGGAGAGCTCATCACCAGAGAACTCTTATATTACTCATATTAGTATACTACATCTAACAATTTGACTAAGTGTGATCAGAACCTAAATTATAAAAAGGAAGAGTAGGAGCGAGAGCAAGAGCGCAAAAATAACAAAATCCAACTGTCGCCAAATGAAAGTTAGTGCAGAAGCGCATGCGAATCACAAAAGCGAAAGCCTGAATATAGCGTGTAGAAGTAAACAGTGTAACCTCTTTTTATAATTATAAGAAAAAACATATTTATTATATCAAACATAGAGATTCCAACCGCTTCAAGAACTATCATCCTGTTTGGGCCCCAATTCTTGACTAAAGATAAACATCTCCACTATGTCATGATTGCCCACCACTTCAATTAGTTTTAATCCAAGAAGAAAATCAAAGTCTTTTAACTACTTTATTATGCTTAAATGGCATCAACCTATGGAATAGCCATCTTTATCAATGTGAACTCATCTTCTCATAGCAAAAAAAAAAAAAAAGCTGAGCAAGTGTATATGGCGGAAAAAGAAAAAGGATGGTTTAAGTTCATACTATAAGAAGCAACTTGGTGGTCCTAAAGAAGTTAACCCCTTTCTTGAATAAACTGTGTATTTAAGCATCCTTCCTTTATTCCTCCAAAAATTTCCATAGTTTCTAGCACTAAAGCAGATTTCTAGTCCTTTATTCTCTTTCACTTGCCAAGGAATCATTTAAGTAAAACAGTAGTTTTTGTTTGATAAAGGTGCAATATTATAATAAAATCATACAGTTGAAGAGAAAGTGGATTAATTAATACTAATACAAAGAGATTTGAAATGACTAAAATGCCTGAGAAATAGTATCATCTGAACTATTAAAAGGGTAATGGTTGAACTTTGATAAAGTGCATTATATATAATAATGTTTTCTAAAGTGATAACAGTGGGGTCTTTTTACTATTTTCAAACATCATAACAGTGGGGTCTTTTTACTATTTTCAACCATCATAACAGAAATAACGGTGAAAATTCACTGCTTTACTACTTTTATGAATATTTTTTTTGGTAATATTTAATTATTTTCAAAAAATAATAATATATTAGCATTTAAATTGTATAAATCATCCAAAGTTAGGATTATAAGTCATCATTTGCAAGTCATTGTTATTCTTAAGCAAAAAAAAAAAAAAAAATGTATTTTCCTCATTCAAATAAAATAACCACAATATTAACCATAACCCCCCTAACACATTTGAAAGATGATCTAGTGTATCTCCTATGTGAAATTTTTGTTTCTTTTAATATTGAAAAATATAGCAAAACTTTCCCAAATTGGGGCAAAAAAATTAAAATAAAATCAAGACTTATCTAAATAACGGCACTAGCTAAGAACCATGCATTAGCACAAACGTCCCAAATTACTTCACGAGAAATTAAGTCCAAAATAAAGAAAAAAAGGAAAGGGGGATCATTAATTTCTTTGGTTTAATAATTCTAATTACCTATATACCAAAAAAAGAAAAGAAAAGCAATTTATGATGGTATCTGTATTCTCCATATAATTTATCAATACTTAATGCCTAAATGATCAATGACCTGAAAATTTGGCACTTCCACATTGTTTTGGGAAATGAATGTCTTTCACAGTGTTAGAGCTTTTGTAGCATAATGGTGCAAAAAGACACAAGTGCATGAAAGGTACTTAATAAATAGATAATAACCAGAAAACTCTCTCTCTCTCTCACACACACATAGAGAAAGATGTGCATGCATGAATGAATGGGAATATATACTGAACCTGTAACATCTTGTTGACATTGCTAGCACCAAACACCTTGTGTACACTGGCAAACTTCTGAGGCTCATCGGCCGGAAAATAAGGAGCAAACACACAATCCTGAGCACACCTCCTTCGAAGAAGCTTGCATGCTGCACATGGAGAAGCCACCCCTTGTTTCCTCCCACTCTCCTTCATTATATATTAATTACAAGTTGCAGATAAACTAAATAAGTTTAACTACTTCAACACTAACTGCTATAAGCATATAACTATATAAGCCTTACTCTTAATTAATAGGCTACTTTAGTAGCTCAAATGGATATATATATGTATCAGCAGAAGAATAAATGAGGGAAATAAAAAAAACAAAGGAGCTTGAATTAAAAAAAGGAAAAGAGGAGAGAGGAGGAGGGGGCTTGAGTGCAGAGGGGTTGGCTATTATATATAGAAAAAAGTAGATGGCATGATATCTTTGCTGGGTCCTACTAATGGCCATTAGATTTTGCTAGACAAAAACATCCTTGTTGATTAGATTTTTGTCCCACCTCTTTATAATTTATATATATATCTACTAGTATATATTTTCTTCAATTCTAGCTTTTTTCCTCTGTGATGAAGACGATATATACCATGGACACAAGTGAACTGCACGTGTTTCGCCTCTAGTATTGGAGTCGAGATAAGGATATAGATATTTAGGGTTCATTTTTTTATTATTATTTTGCTTCTATATGTTTTAATTTTATGGATATATATTTCATTAATTTATTATTTTATTCAGAATTTCTTGCCATCTATTTCTTCTGCTTCTTCTCCTCTCCTCTTCTCTTCTCTCATTCTCTCTCCCATCCTGCATCACTTTGTGCTAAGGTTTTTTTTAAAAAAAAAAAAAAAATTATAAACACTTCATGATCGCTTGTTTGGGGGTGCAAAAGGAATTGGGTTATTATGTTAAAGTGCAATCTATTTTAATTTATTCTTTTAGGGTAAATTAAGGAATTAAAACATATTATAAAAGCAAATTTAATTCGGAGTTTTGACAAACAAAAAACTTCAGTAATGATTTGTTGATTAGTCAATATATGCTTATAACACATCCTTTGTGTTCATATAATCCAAAGAAGAGAGAGTATAGCTCTGTAGTAAATTAATAATGCAGTGTATGAGTATCTATCTTCTCACATCTTCAAATCCAATGCAGAAAATTATACAAGGTAAATACTATATATTAATTATTTAAAGATCGATATGATGTAGTTGATTTAGGAATGAAAATAAGAGCATCCTATGGATGATTTGATTCATTTGTGGATTATTTATGTCACCGTCTGTATTATCCTTTATCTTAAAAGAAAAATATTAAGAATAAAGCACTACTATTAATAATTTTTGGATATATATATACAAGTGTAGTTGTATATAAGTTTTTATACAAAAAATTACTCTTGAAGAATCAACCCATATTAATAAAAGATCTCGATTTGATTATAAGATTAATTAGTACAGGAATATCAGTTTGTCAGTTTCCCTTTTTAACAATGTTGTTGAAGAATCTTGATATAAATTAATCAGGTGTGGGAAAAGTGTCTCACCTGAGCTAAAGTTGAAGGGGATAGGGGATGGGTTTCAAGTTTCAACAATGAATATTTTTGAAAGCTCAGAACAAGAAAGGAAGAGATGATTCAGAGTATCTAAGGCTTATTGGCTAAATAATTATATTAATAATTTTCTTGTGATTTCCCAGCATCTTGCTTATTTTTATATACTATGCCTTTTTGGTTTCTTTATTTTACTATATCTTACTTTTTTTATTTTTTATTTTTTATTTTATGTTGGGGAACTAAGATGGGATTGATTAATATGCAATTGGTTCTTTTGTTTCTTAGCATAATTTCTTCTGTACATCACTAGCCCTTCTTTTTTTTTATTATTATTATTATTATTATTATTATTATTTATTTATTTTTTTTATTAGACTAGCTTTATTAATACTGTTATTATTATATATGTTACATTTCTTCTTACTAGGGTCATGGTTAGATCTTGCCTAATGCTTTACAAACAGGCAGGGACAAGAGTTACATGTAGTGAAACTGAAAGCTCACAAAACCCTAGTGATGAACTCAAACTGATAAGAAATGTGTGACAAGATTGGAACCAAACAAAAGGAAGAAATTCTTAAATTAATTAATATATTAATTACACTCTGCTTAGTGGAAAATATAGGTAAAGAGATCTCATGTTTAGTGATCTCTAATTAATATAAAAATGATTTGGGGGCAGGTTACATCATTGAAAATGAGTGCTTTGATGGTTGAGTAATTCATTTAGTTCCCATTAATCACCATTGTGCACTACAAAAAGTTGTTTAATTATGATAATTGCTTTTGTTAAAAACGCGCTATAGGCTTTAATCAAACTGATTAATTAACCGATAAGATTCTCCTAATGAATGGATTAGATTTCTGTGGAAAGAAAGCAAATTTTTTTTTTTTTTTTTTTTTTTTTCAATTTGATGGATCAAAAACCACATATATAAGCTGATTAATGAGCCCACCATGGGGCAAAAAGTTGACTAGGCTTGCTGTCAAATTGGTTGTTCTCTATCAGATGAAAGATTGTAAGCAACATCCGACCTACCAATAAAAATTGACATTATGCATGCATGGGCGTGTGGGAGGGAATACATAGTATATTTATATATATATATATATATATTTCATTAAGCATGAATCATGGTTGTCATTGTTTGTTCAGAATGACTGACCTATATGAATTTATATATAATTGTAGAGAAAATGACATTTTTGAATGAGTAATATATCAATGCATGCACATCAATTGAAGTTGGTGATAAATTTTTTTATTTTCAGTAAGTAGTAGGTGATAATAATAATAATAATAAAAATTGCTATATTATATTTTCCCTTCAATTGACCATGTAATAAAATTAAAAGTCATCACTTGTACCACAATCACAGCAGTGTCTGGTGTTAAAACTTATTTATTTTTCTTCGGTGGTTGCAATAGTGACCATTTGGACAGTGATAGGTTTGACCTTGAATAGCTTTTCTTTGGTGGGTAGTTTCATTCTTTGAAGGATAATCAAATGATTATATTTGACATTTTTATATCATCATTGTTCTAATTCCAACAACTAGACAATTAGATTATGTGGGGGTGTACATGTACATGTACATGTTGGCGTTAATTAGTTCTCCAACTTTTTGGGGAAATATAATTTGTATTCTTTGGACATGCACCAATTCCTTTCAAAAAGCTATAGTTTTAATATTTGGAATTTCCAAATCCAAATTTGTTCCAGTGGAGAAATATTGAGACGTGCAAGAATGCCTTACCAAAAAAAAAAACAAAGATGTTAAAGAATGTGCATTACCCAATTTATTATGTCTGCCATTACTTAATGAAAAGGATGTGTTGTCTAGATTTGTCACTAAAACATTCCAAAGGATAGCATGCATTTTTTTGACTTCCATTCCTTCTAGAGAGGAAATTAAAAACTGTTTTTTTCTCTGTGAAACAAACAAGTTTATGGAAGTAATGGTTTTAATGTTCATTTATTTACAAGAAAATTTGGCCTACACTAGGGAAAGTAACCCTTGTTGTGAAAGTTTTCTTTTCTAATATATATTTTCCCCTTTTTTCTAATATATGAAAAAAGTCTAAAAGAAATAAATCTTTTGTAAATTGCATCTAAATCTTAAAACTCTTTTGTCCTCAGTGACCATAGACCAATCTCGTGTTGTAATATTATTTACAAATGCGTTCTAATATATATTTTCTCCTTTTTTCTAATATATTAAAAAAGTCTAAAAGAAATAAATTCTTTGTGCATTGCATCTAAATCTTAAAACCCTTCCGTCCTCAATGAATATAGACCAATCTCGTGTGTAATATTATTTACAGATGCGTTCTAATATATAGTTTCCCCTTTTTTATAATATATTAAAAAAATCTAAAAGAAATAAATTCTTTGTACATTGCATCTAAATCTTAAAACCCTTCCGTCCTCAATGACCATAGACCAATCTCGTGTTGTAATATTATTTACAATTGCATTTTAATATATATTTTCCCCTTTTTTCTAATATATTAAAAAAGCCTAAAAGAAATAAATTCTTTGTACATTGCATCTAAGTCTTAAAACCCTTCCGTCCTCAATTACTATAGACCAATCTCGTGTTGTAATATTATTTACAAATGCGTTTTAATCATGTTAGCTAACAAACTAAGCCTGTTTTTTTTTTTTTCTCTCCTTGTTGTTAGTTCATGACACTTTTTTTTCTTGGTAAGAAATTTACACCGATTTTGTTTCTATAAAGACTTGATCCCTTGATTTTTTATTTTAAAATGTGAAAAAATACTACTAAGTTACAATCCCGAGTAATATTGTTAGTTCATTGATTTAGGTTTCCATTTTTCGAATTTCTGTTTCTTGAGCTTGTGTTGGCTCCCGTTGCCTCTGGGCTGGTTTGGCTTGTTCTTTTGTTTGGCGCTCAGGTGTGCACTTTGTACTTTTGTATACTTTTCTTTTCTTCTAATTTCACTTTATATATATATATATATATATATATATATATATATATATATATATATATATATCGGTCATGAAAGGTGACTAAAGAAAGATTGGAGACAGACCTAACATTTGACATTACGTACACTTTAAAACTTTTACTAATGTTCACCATCATAGTCAAATATTCAACAAAATTCCAATTAAAAATTGCTACAAAATCTTTTAGTATCCCCCTCCTGTATGATCTAGCTAAGCATATATATGCGTATCCTACATGATTCAGGCCGGACACTTTTTTTATTTATTAAGATATATGCTGCAACATGGAAGAGAGAATTGTTGGGGAAGTCCAGGAGATTCTATAAAGCATGGGACCTCACTGTCTTACAGTGCCATGCACATCAATTTTACCTTTCTTGTTGTAGATAAGGAAGCATGCATGGCCAACAAGAGCAGTATACACACACACACACACATACACACACATGGAAAGTGGTCAATAGGGTGCCCTCCATATATAGAACTAATGTGTGTGTATATATACATATATATTGGAGAAATTAATTAAGCAAAGATAGCAATTTAATATATGGGTTATTTTGCTTTACACATACTTACTTCTCTCAGTGCTTACAAATTTTTTCGAAACGTGTCGTCCATATATATAAGTGTCAACGTACAGATATGATCAAAATAATTACCACCTAAGAAGTGAAATTATAGATGTATATAGTCGGCTCGTATATATACATGTAGAATGTGTGTAACTTGTTTGTTTGGATTGAGATGTTTTAAACCACTTAATATATACAAAGGGCTTATCAAGCAACACAATGTACGTGTGTGTGTGTGTGTGTGTATATATATAGTGCTTTTTCTTGAAACAAAAGCAAATCCACTGCATACCAAAAATCACACTTTTAATATAATGGTGATGATTGGGGATTCCC